GTGTAGATCTGGAGCTCATACACTAAAGACCTGTCACATAAGTGTTTAAACAGCAAAATTATGATGTGAAAGCTGTTAATTTCAGTGTAATCACCACAATCGGTGGATTGGCTTCTACGTGTGACAAAATCTGTGAGTTTCACTGTTCAGTCTAACCTGCTCATCAAAAGGGGAGCGGTTTGTGGACAGTTATGAGACAGGAGTCCGTGCTACAAATACATCGTCTGAGTAAACTGTGTCAACTTGGAGACCGAGCTTGTTAACGCCTAGTGAGGGAGAGAGATGCTAGCAAGGCCGTTGGCTCTGATAGCTAACCTCTTCAATAACGATACTGTGACTGATTAGCTTAAGCAATTTCCTGGCTAGCAGGAGTTTTAGCCGTTAGCTCACCAACTAGCCCTGCGAGTAGTAGCTACATCGCCAAACAACTAGTACCATGTATTTTGTGAAGACATGATTGAATTTAGCTGGGCCCCATTAAAATGATATGTGCACAGTATCATGTATGAATAAATATAAAGATGCTGTGAGCGACTGACAGGTAAGAGAGAGACCTCAGGACCTTCCAGACCTGCTGTGCTGTTTCGTCCTTCGCCTTACAAGATCTCAGGACTAATCTGCTCCAGATGTTGCAGTGCAACCTGAATATTGTGCAGAACCGTTCCCCCTCTTCTCTGTGCTTTTTCTTCTCCACCCTCCCTCTCCCTCTGCGAGAGGCTGGGACCAGGTCAGGCTGTGGGTCAGGGGTTGTGATGATGTCATAGCAGTGTCACTAGGGGGGTAGGGGGCTGCAGCAACGAGCCAAACAGATGAGTCATGGGAGATTTTGGGGCAGAAGGAGCATCAAAAGACAGGCATGCACACTCTCCATACGGTAGCCTCCACTCTCTCTCTCTCTCTTTCTCACACACACACACAAATACAAAAACACACACCAGTACAAAGGCTGGGGGGTGGGGTTGGGAAGTGGGGGGGGGGTATGAGTCAGCATAGGGGGAGTCTGCGGCAGTCTGTGTCCGTATATGGGCTCCGTCAGGCCTGGTGCACTGTGGTCTGCCGGGAATGCTGGCAGATTCCTTGCATGTTTAGTGGCTTTGTGTGTGAGAGGCATGAATCGAAGAACAACACGTAACCACACTTTATCAGACAGTGTGAGCGAATTTATGTCCTAACAAAACCCAGCAGCAGGAGAGGAGGAGGAGGAGGAGGAGGAGGAGGACGGGCCGCTGTCTGCTGCCCAAACCTGAAATGATGCTCTGTACTGGACAGCTTTGATAGTTGTTGACTTAGTTATAGTTCTCATATCTTACACTTTTCAGGTGTTTTATCTGAAGTGTTGATATATATCAGAAGATATATCTGCAGTTTTATGAACCAAAAACAATCTTTATGTAGTTTTACATCTCCTCCCTCAGGCTTCTCTCCGGAGCTCTAGTAACAACAGCTCGGTGAGCCAATCAGAAGAGAGGAGGCTCTGAGCCTCTCCTCTGATTGGATCACTGTTTTCTGAGTGAATTAATAAAGATATAGGAGATTTCAGGTAAACGCTCAGAGAAACCAAATCCTGTAAGGTTGGATGGTGGGTCCGGGTGGGCGGCGCTTGGAGCGTGGCTAAGAGCAGTGACTGCTTTGTTGTGACATCACAAAGTTACAGAAGTCCTGCCGACTCGTTTCAAGGCTCAGTCGTCAGGCTGTGTGCATTTCTCTGTGGACTGAGCACTTTGATACTTTCACAGTATTAATATGAAACATATATAAAACCTGCTCTATAATCAAAAAAGACATGGAAATCTCACCGTATATAATATGGAACCTTTTAAGCTGACAGTATGTTGTACAGGCGGAGGCATGGTCTTATTTTGACCCTTTGACGTGTGATGACAATTTTTCACTCTTTGATTTCTTTTTTTTTTTTTATAGACGGATGATTATTCAGTTAACTATGAAAAAGATATATTTAAAGTATCCCTAGTTGCACACTGGGGTCTCTTCTTCACTTCTGGTAATGTTGCGGTCGTGTGCTGTTTGTGCTGCAGTGGCTGAAAGGCTGCTATGTGACACACCCCTGCTTTAGCTGATCTGCATTCCTGCTGCAAGTACCAACCTGTGGCACCATTCACTCCCTCCTATCAGTACGAATGACAATTTATAGCTGTCAGTGAGTTTTATCTTTGCCTTCAGGCAACATTTCTCTCTCTTGCCCCCCCCCCCCCCCCCCCCTTTGCAATCACTCTTTCCCGTCTCTTCTGCGTCTAGCTTTGCCCCTTCTTTTCCTTTCCTATCATTCCTGAGCAGCCTGAGTTGCCACTCTGTTGCTATAACATCCAGCTCTCTCAAAGTTCCCATGGTGATGGGTCATCCAAACAGGCCCATCGTCTGACCCTGCTCCATTTTATCACTCTGCAGAGTGTGTTTTTCCACTGGGAGCTGCTCATATGTCATGTATGTCGTGTAGCAGGGTTGGCAGCTCGCGAGCACATCTCTGTGTTGGCATATGAATTCAGACAGACAGTCAGCTGAGATGAAGTGGGAGATGTACTTCTGCATACAGGCAAAAAAAATTCCTCAGATTAAAGTCATCTGATCTAACGCTCACATGTTTCTTTGCATTAGATTTGCTTTTTTCCATCTCTTAACATCCTTCATTTCTCAACTAGCTTGCTCCTCAGCTCCATCTTCAACATGCATCAAATTCCACCTCCCTCTTTTGGTTTAGACCCCCGTCCCTCCTAACCCCATCCTCAAACTCTTGGCCAAACAGCTTCCAGGCCCTCTTACTGCAGGCATTACATATTCAGCCTTTTCAGTAGCCTCAGCCCCCGACCGCAGCCCCAGCTCTCTTATGCAAAAATATCTAAGAAAAAAAAGAATCATTCAAGACCTCATTGTTGTAGAGGTTGAGCTGCTGTTACCAGCAATTATTCCAGTCTAGACAACAATAACAAAACAAATTAAGTTGACAATGATGTGAGTAGCACTGGAATGAATTTAGCCTAAAGCTCTCCTGTCCAAAGAGGTTCATGTTGTTTCTCTTTAGCCTCGTTCTCTCTGTTGTCATGCTCCCTGCAGCCTTTATCAGAGTCTCAGGGAAACTGCCAAGTGAACACAGCTGCTGTCAGAAGTGGGATTCACACATCACATGACCCCAAACATTACGGACACACCACAGAGAGCCTAAAACCACTGTACACCCTTGATAGCCATCAGGACCTAGCCTCAAATCCTCACAAGAGCCAGAACTTTAACCCCATTTTCCTCCTTAACTATGTTTTAATCACCATCCGCCAGGGCACACACACACAAACACACTGCTCCACCCTTTCCTCAAGGGTGGACCTAAGCAATCATCCCTCCTGATCAACTGCTCCTTGTGCAACATGTGTGTGCATGCTGTAGTGTTTATATTGGTGTGTGTGTGTGTGTGTGTGTCTTCCTCATGCCCTGGCTAGCTTCTGGTTGCGTCACTTTCTCCTCTGCTTGCAGTGGTGCATGTGGTCGTGTGTGAACACAGACAAATGCCTCGGATGCACTTTACAACAACCAACCATGTTACCAGACGTGGTGTTATGTCATTCTGTTGCAATATAGACTGGTGTGTAAGTGAATGAGTTTACATCTGTTTAAATGTATAAATCATCCCAAACCTTTATATAGAAAACATAGAACTTGCATAGTGGCCGTACTAAAATAACAATAAGTAGCATGTGTATGTATCATATTTCTGCTCAGATGTTTCCATGTGAATATTTATATAACTCGTGCAGTATGATTCATCCAGAAGGAGCCCTCTACACTCATCACAATAGTCTTTGTTTCACAGTCTGTCTCTGTCTCCATCTTCTGATTACCTACATTATGTCTCAGACTGAGAGGGTTTGACTCATTTTTATGGTTTCATCTTCAGTAGAAAACTGCATCAATCAAGTAGAGACACTCAAGGCAAGGCAATATTCTTTTTTGTCTTTATTTAAAGGTCCCAAAGGTCCCATATTTTACACTTTTCTGGTGTTTTATTTGAAGTGTTGATCCATAAGAAGCTATATTTGTGGTTTTAAGAACCGAAAACCATCTCAGTGTAGTTTACCATCTCCTCTCTCAGGCTTCTCTCTGGAGCTCTTGTAACAACAGGTCAGTAGCCAATCAGAAGAGAGGAGGCTCTGAGCCTGGACATGCACATCTTACTTTATACAATATGGGACCTTTTAAATACTGGATAGTAAATGAATGAATTTGTGGGACCATATTCATTTGGCCAAGTAAATCAGCATTCTTATTTTGTGCATGGTTTGGCCTCATGGGAATATGTACAGCTTGAATTGTAATGGTCCAGAAATTGAAGCCTCCACATATCAGGCAGATCCTGCTCAGATTTATGGTCACCAGTGGCAACACAGCAATTTCCTTTTGAGGTCCAAACCAACTGACGACTGGACCAGATAATCCAACCTAGACGTCCACTCTCAACAGTATCAAAGGCGTAAGATCGAGCTGATGTTTGAATCCGTGTTCAATGTCATTTGATAACCTTCAGTGGAGATTGAAATCTGTTGGAGTTGGACACCAACATAAACTACTGCAATCCCTCCCCAGACCAGAGCATGGGCGATGACTTCTAGGTATGCACTCCCCTCCTCCTTCAAGACATACATGAGATAGCAGATAACAGATGTTCCTGAGGGGAATTTCACTTCTGATGGTTAAGTAGAAGCTCAAAGATCAAACAAGAGACCGAGTCCCTCTCATGCAGTGTATCTCCTATCTACATTCTTTGTGTGGTCATTGTGACCTGACTGTATTTTGAAGGAGGGCTGCATCTAAAAAAAAATTTCAAAATACCCTTGCCCTTTCGATACATGTGTAAAAAAAAAAAAAAAAAAAAATCTGCTTCCTTTTTTTTTTTTTTTATCTTAAAACACTTCTACAGAACAAGGATGTTGCTCTGATTTGTTTTAGCATGGTAACATGACTTCAAATCTGCTCTCTCTTCCTCTGGACTCTAGACTCTAAAGCCATCGTGGATGGGAACCTGAAGCTGATCCTGGGTCTGATATGGACCCTGATCCTGCACTACTCCATCTCCATGCCCATGTGGGACGAGGAGGAGGAGGCGGATGATGGCAAGCAGAAGACGCCTAAGCAGAGGCTGCTGGGATGGATCCAGAACAAGCTGCCCGAGCTTCCGATCACCAACTTCCACAGAGACTGGCAGACCGGTCGGGCCCTCGGTGCCCTGGTTGACAGCTGTGCTCCAGGTGAAGGAACTGTGTGTGTGTGTGTGTGTGTCTGTGTGTGTGTGTGTGTGTGTGTGCACATCTGTATCCCCCATAGCCAGCGACGTGAGTTAACACCAGCCAAATCCTAATTGCCAGAAACATTTGTCTCTGGAGGAAACCACTCTGAAACAGTGGACCACAGCATTTTACTGTGATCATTTAAATACAGTGTTGAAACTCTTTTTGCATCGTAGATGTTAGTTGGCTGATTTTAGCGTCATAACGGTCTGCAGCCAACAGTGACTGAAAGCTGAGGTCTGAGGTCGGGGAAGGCAGAAGTGCTTAATTCTCATCGCTGCGAGAGAAAAAAGTGAGGGCAGTGGAGATGAAGAGCAGGAGTGCTGAGTCCTGTTCAATTAGGGAAGTGAGGAGAGAGGAGGAGCAGGGGGGAGGAGGGATGTAGGTGAAGGAAAGTGAGGCATAAAGGAGGTTTCTGTTTACATACTCAGGATGTTTGGCATACCTGTGGATCACCAACAGCCTCGTGCCAGAGATAAGGATTCAACAAAAGCTTTTACATCCCTCCAGCAAAAGATGTCCCTACGGTGTCCAAAAATAACCCGCAGACTTCAGAGACAATTATAAACAAGTAGAGGAAAAACTGCTGACACAGTCACTTTACCAGGATACGTTTGTGTGTTAATGATGGAGTATCATAACATCCAGTGGATAAATTCAAGGGCAGACATCTTGACGAGCCACAGAGGCAGATAATTACTGCTCCACATTCACCTTCGAATACAGATGAGGCATATTATGCGTTCTGCATTTATCTGCTGGATGCCATCAAGGCTGCAACTTTAGAGTCAACATGTTTGGCCATATTTAGACAGATTATCAGGCTCTCAAGAGGCTCTCAGTTCCTTTGTGTAGTGAAGTTCACGTTTACTAAATGTGCCTGAATCCAACAGAAATACTGTGTCACTATAACAACAAAGTGCAACTTAGTTCCTAATTCTCCCTCTCATACATTCACAAGACAAAATGCGAGGTTATGAATAATACAGAGTATCACTGTGAATAAAAACAGTTTTTTGTCAGCTTTAAACACAATTTATAAGTTTTAAATGCACACAATAGAACTGCTTATTATCATTATAGATCTCTATATATATCGTCAGCACATGTTTCTACCTGTCTTCATTAAATGAGTTATCATCCTGCTGCTTCCTGCAGGTCTGTGTCCTGACTGGGACCAGTGGGATCAGACCAAACCAGTGGACAACGCCCGTGAGGCCATGCAGCAAGCTGACGACTGGCTGGGCATCCCACAGGTAAAACACATACATACAACAATGGACCAAGAAGCTGTTTTGAACAAACACATTCTTATTACAAATTAAAAGTTTAATTCATAAGCAGGATATTGGGGAGTGCTGCTACAGCCTCATTTAGCCTTGTATAACCAAAAGCCTATGGCTAAGAAGAAGAGTCACTGGAAGTGAACAAATTGCACAACGTTGCCTACACCACTTCTCACTTGTCGCTGTGGCCGTGTTAACAATCACAGGCTGGTGAACACTGAGTCAATAAGCAGCCGATGACTTTTTTTCAACAATTTGTGTAACTCTGTGGCAAAAGCAGCACATTTCATATCTATAATCTTAAAGGCAAAGAAGGACCCTGAGAACTACAATAAAGATCTTCATTTGTCTACACATTTCCATATGAAAAATAAATGACTCATGTCTATGCGCCATGTTTAGCACATCTTCACTGTTACACCGCATTTACCACTATCAGACTGTCTGTCTGTTACCAAGGTTACCAGTGTTCAGCAGCAGGGACAAAGGATCACTTTAACCCACTAATGGTTTATACTTGGACGGCTGTTTGTCCTAACGTTGTGTTAACTGAACCATGGTTTACCTTCAGTTTTACCTGATTCGACAAGATAAACCAGTTAAAGGATAAACTGAACTCGAGGAGAAGATGGATATTCTGTTTTTTTTTTTTCTTAGTGTCAAGAAATCTCATGAAAAGACTAAAACCAACAATGTTCTTCTCCTCCCTGTCTGTTGCACTTAGTCCCAAGCCAACTGCTTCCCACTGAAGAGGTCAAGGGTCACAAATATTCAACTCTTAAAAAGCATTCAGTAACGTCCCAAAGCAGCTGCACACTGTAGCTTTTAGTAGACGTCCTGAGCCGATGCTCATCCTCCAGATCAGTGTAGAAACGATTCAGGAAGCAGCTTCTCATTTTTACCCAAACGTCACTGGCTGCAAATAATGTCGGCTGTGGCTGATGAAGGTTAATTCAGTGATTAACTTGACAACAAGCCAAACTTAAACATGGCTGCTGGTTTTGTGTCTGTACTCAGCCAAAGATTGATGTTACAGAGTGGAGGCTCTTCCCTCACAAACAATGTACAGTTGCGAGCAGACTCATCGGACTTACTTAATAAAACATCAATAATTTAAGCTTATAAACTTCATAATTTTGAACTACGACCTTCAGTTTTTGGATCAAGCAGCTCAATCTGTCAGATTTTGTGGTAAACATTTGTTATTTCAGAGTTTCAGATACATTAAATCAACATTTAACTTAATATATGTATTGTATCAGACTCAGATTTGGATCGGGGCCAAAAAAGTATTTAATTTCGATCATTTTCATTGCATTTGTTGACGATAAGAAAATATAGAATATTCCACCAGACTTATCGTAATGATCATACTCATACACATAATCAACACAGCCCTGACTAAAACATTTTATCCCCTGTCGTGTTCGCCCAGAGGGAAAGTTCAGTGTTTGATAGGGAGATTCACCAAATGTAGTTTCACTGTGCTGGTTCTTGGGTTGTGACTGTCTGACAGTGTGTTGTGTTGGCACTGAGTTGGCACAGCGCTGGCAGCTGGCACAGCATAGCGTGCTGACAGTTGGCTCTGTGGTCGCTGCCGTTTCCGCCCTCAGCTCTGCTTCTGCTCAGAAACTGGCTCCGTCCCTTCCCCTGCTGTCTTTGTGGGTTGTAAAGTCAGACAATGAGCATGTCTTTGTGAGCGGGTGCCAGCCTGTTTGCATGTTAGTTTACCACAGGTACTTTCTGAGCTGAGGTGGAGGTTGGTATGTGGTACGATCACTAAATCACAACACAACTCAGTTGATTTTTTTGTGGGTAGTCGTCTCCATGGAAACTAATCAATCATTGCTTCAGGCTGTACAGCTGTAGCCTCCCTTCTCTTTCATTAGCAAATATGTAAACAATGAAAAACAACTGCCCTTTCATTTGGAAACGTTCTTGTCTTCTCAGGTGATTACCCCTGAAGAGATCGTTGACCCCAATGTGGACGAACATTCAGTCATGACCTACCTGTCCCAGTTCCCCAAGGCTAAACTGAAGCCTGGTGCACCTCTCCGACCCAAACTCAACCCCAAGAAGGCCCGCGCCTATGGACCAGGTACACACACACACACACACACACACACACACACACACACACACACACCTGCAGCTAGACTTCAACAAGGAAACAAATGCAGTACCCGGAACAGCTGGATCAGATTAGAGTATGTTTACAGCCGATGACCCAGAAACTGAGAGCTTGTCCAAATTAGGCTAATTTATTTACTGTAGATTCTTCTGGATACTGCCTTAAATTTGACATGAATGTTAAATGACATGCACAAGTACCCACAGCATTTTCACTTCAGTTCAGGACCATATTTATATGTATTTACAGGTATTTTTAATGTACTGTCCCACCTCTCTCTGCAGGTATCGAGCCTGTCGGTAATGTGGTGATGAAGAAAGCTGTGTTCACCGTCGAGACCATCAGTGCAGGAATGGGAGAGGTGCTGGTCTACGTGGAGGACCCTGCTGGACACAGAGAGGAGGTGAGACACTGGTTCTGATGAGATACAGTCTTCTAACTTTTCTAGCTCATCGTGGCACTATGCTATTTTTGTTAACTTCTTAAAACGTTCCTTTCAGGCTAAAGTGACAGCCAACAATGACAAGAACCGCACCTACTCTGTCTTCTACATCCCTAAAGTCACAGGCATGCACAAGGTAAGCTAAGAGCTTATTTTTAATGCATAGGACTGAACTCACATGAGTGTGATATGACTCTCTAAGAAGCAGAGAGGGCTGCACTGTAGTTAAAGTTATGATATTTGGAGCAGGATACATGACGTAAAATGTATAGCTGGGTTAATCAATTAAAAATAATCCTTTGTCACAGCAAAAAGATTACTGCCCACAGCAGGCAAGAGAAAACATTTAAGGCTTTTCAGGACCTGCATGTAACCTGTATGCCCTGTAAGTGGGACCTGAGGGTTAAAGGCTTTACTCTCTCCTTTCTGCTTTGTAGGTGACGGTGCTGTTTGCAGGGCAGCACATCTCTAAGAGCCCTTTTGAAGTGGAGGTTGGCATGGCTCAAGGAGACTCCAGCAAGGCCACGGCCCAGGGACCAGGCCTGGAGCCCTCAGGAAACATCGCCAACAAGGCCACCTACTTTGACGTCTACACAGCAGGTAATAACACGGACACTGTTAGTGAGGTTTGGCTTCCTTACTGTTGTTAGGATGGAAACTGAGGATGTCTGTGCGAGTGTGTTTTATCATGTGTTTTCCTGTTCTTGAATGCCCCTCATTGACTTCGCTGTTCTCTCAGGTGCCGGTGTTGGGGAGGTGGAGGTGGTGATCATGGACCCTGCCGGCAAGAAGAACACGGTGACTTGCACCATCGAGGATAAGGGCAACAGCAGCTACCGCTGCACCTACAAACCCACCCAGGAGGGCCAGCACATCATCTATGTCACGTTCGCTGGTGGTCAGATCAGCAAGAGCCCCTTCACAGTCAACGTGGGAGAGGGTAAGAGTCATACATTTGAGAGAAATCTTGCTCATAAGTTGTCCTGTATAGGATGTTACTGCTAAATGTTTTTCCCTGTTAAAGTTACATTAATGGAAGTCCAAGATCTGTGACTGTGAGCAATAACAAAGCCCACTGTGAAGCCAACATTTTTTAAATATATGCTCACTCTGCTGTTTTTTTTCTTCAGTTGTGTCTAATGCTTTGCTGTCTCTTCCTGCCACTGTACTGGATGCCGTGTCCTCTCTCCTCCCCTCCCTCCTTCCCTCCTTCCCTTCTTCTCTTCGATAGCGGCCTGGTGGTATCTGTCCTTTCTCTGGAACGGCCTCTTCCTTCTGCTGTCATTTCCTGTTTCCTGGGATCTCTCTTGGGTACCCACTGTGCGCATGCGTGTGTATGTGTGTGTGTGTGTGTGTGCGCGTGAGCGTGTGTGTGTGTGTGTGTGTGTGTGTGTGCGATTCCATGCATGAGTGGGTAAGCTGTATGTCTGTGTAGATATTGGACTGCGTAATCCTTCGCTCTGTATGTGTGTTTTTGTGGAATTGCATGTCATTACTTGCGACTAACTTCCCTGTGTAGACGGGCTTTATATGTGTGTTGTGTGTGTGTGTGTGTCCTCTGCCTCTAAACTCAAAATGACTCAGGCATCTCCAGTAGTTTGTGTCCTTATTAGGAGGTTTCGGCATATCCATGAGGAAATACTCTAACTAAGAAATTCAGCCACATATGCTCACATTTAGATGGAAGAATGCCACCATTAAACTGCAGTTTGTATTTGCCAGAAAACAGATGCCTCATTTCTTCCAGCTCACTAAGGGTCTTAAGTTTACACAGTGACACAATTCACAAAGAAGTGTACTTGTAATTGCATGACCAGCATTGTTTAAAATATAGCTTTTGGCACAATGATTCATGGTTACATGGAATTAAAGTATGTGGTAGGACTGTAATTAGCGTTGCCTCTCTGAGAGATAACACAACCTTTAAGTTGCATTGGGTGTGTCCACCTCAGACAAACAAAAAATATAATAAAAAACAATATAAAAAGTCCAGAATGTTTAAAGGTCCCATAATGTATAAAGCGAGACTACTGTCTTTTTTGATTATAAAGCTGTATTATATATTATATATATTAATATTGTGAAAGTATCAAAGCCTCAGTCCACAGGGAAATGCACACAGCCTGTATTCAGAAACTGAGCCTTAAAACCAGCCGTCAGGACTTCCTGAACTTTGTGATGTCATAACAAAACAGTTACCACCCTCAGCCATGCCCCAAGCCCCGCCCACCTGGACCCACCTTCCAACCTTACAGGATTCGGTTTCATGTTTACCTAAAATCTCCTATATTTTTATTAATTCACTCAGAAAACAGTCTGAGGGGCTCAGAGCCTCTCTTCTGATTGGCTGACTGACCCATTGTTGCTACCGCTCCAGAGCGAAGCCTGAGAGAGGAGATGTAAAACTACACTGAGATGGTTTTTGGTTATTAAAACCACAAATATATCTTCTTATGAATATCAAAGCTTTAAATAAAACACAGAAAAAAAGTAATAAAATATGGGACCTTTTAACAAGAAATAAGAAACAATGAAATATTTGTGATATCAAAATATTTCTGTATCACCTTTATAATAAGTTATTTAAAAAAAACAAATACCTTTATTAATGGTTAATAAATCATAAAAAAAAGCTTCATATATCATCAATTTCTGTTTAACCTAGAAGATTTCTGACAGATTTCTAACTAATTATCATTAGTCATAGTGGTTCTGCCAAGTATACCAGATTAGCACACATGACCTGCTGACATCAAAATACATTTTAATATAATAAAATATAAATGTGTCCTTTTTCTTAGAGTGCCAAGTAGTCCACTCCCTGGAAAATATCTTGTGCCTCTTTCAGTAGTCTCTGTTCCTGTGGGGTTTCCTTTGCTTCCTGCAGGGTGTCCAAGTGTGACTCAGCAGCTCCTATTTTATGCACTTTCAATTAGCAGATATGAAGGATACCCAACTTCCTGTGTGGGGATAAGGGCTCACATCCTTCACTGTGGTCTATGATTTCACTCTGCGGGATAAGATAGATGGATAAGAGGCGGAGGGGGGTGTGCGAGTTAGAGGGAAGGCAGGAAAGGACAATTGAACTGTAAGCTTTCCAGCCACCCTTCACTGTGATGGATGCACCATTCGGATGGAAATTATTTTGGTTTCATATCGTTCACCCCGCACCTCATTCCTCTTCTCCCCACTGAAACCACCACTGAACTCTCTTATGGTCATAATGTTGGAGTCATAATACCGAGAGCTGTCTCTGTGTCTGTTTCTCTCTCACTCCTTCATTGTGTGTGTCTCTCCACAGCGTGTAACCCCACCCTCTGCAGAGCTAAGGGCCGTGGTCTGCAGCCAAAGGGCCTGAGGGTGAAGGAGACGGCAGACTTTAAGGTTTACACCAAAGGAGCTGGCACCGGAGAGCTCAAGGTCTCCATCAAGGGCCCCAGTGAGTTACGCTGCAAACACCAGTCTTGTTATTACTAATTCCAAATTGTTTATCAACTCCATCACTTTAGGCAAGGTCTGATATACTTTTGAAGCATAGATTAATAATCCTCAGATAGAATGCTACATTAATCCATATTTGGCTAAGTCGCTCAAATCCCTATTTTAATGTGAAAGTTCCTTTTAGTGATGAAGCCACAGGAAGTAATCACCTGATTCAGCAGTTTTCCCTCGGTGTCTTAGCCCCTTGCAGCTAGCTAATGTCACTCAGCTACACTGCGAGCTGTAACTGCTCTCACCAGCCTTGTTTCCAGCAGCAGCAAACAGCAGGCAAAGTTAGCTGCTTGTGTTTAATGCTAATGATATATGGTATATATTATATATTAGATAATAATAATGAATGTTGTGTTTAAAGCTTGTTACGTTGCCCCCAAGTGGCCAAAGAATCAATTCCTGTAGGTTTAAGCCTCATATACTTGCTGTGTTAGTTATCTACACTGTGATACTAATGTCCTTCACTGTGTTCACAGAGGGTCTTGAGGAGCCGTGTAAAAGGAAAGATCTTGGAGATGGTGTGTATGGATTTGAGTATTACCCCACCACACCTGGAACATACACCATCACCATCACCTGGGGAGGACAGCACATCCCCCGCAGGTACACACACCGGCATGTAAAACAATACACACTACAACTGAACTACTTTAACTTGTGGTTGTGGCTGATCGCTGTCTGCTCTGTTTAGTCCCATTGAGGTCAAGATTGGTGCTGAGGCCGGCCAGCAGAAGGTGAGGGCCTGGGGTCCAGGACTGGAGGGTGGCATTGTTGGCAAATCTGCCGACTTCGTGGTGGAGGCTGTTGGAGACAACGTCGGTACACTGGGTAAGAGATGACAGCGATAACACAAACAGTCCTCAAAGTATGTGTGGTTGTAAGTATCCAAAGCAAAGTTTTACTTTCAGTTACGCACTGACAGCTCCTTTAAGCTTGATGTGTTGGTTTTTCCCTGTTCAGGTTTCTCTGTGGAAGGTCCATCTCAGGCCAAAATTGAATGTGATGACAAGGGCGATGGATCCTGTGACGTGCGCTACTGGCCCACAGAGCCTGGAGAGTATGCTGTGCACGTGCTCTGCAACAACGAAGACATCCAGCACTCTCCCTTCATGGCTGAGATTGTCAACGCACCAAACAAAGACTTCTACCCAGACAAGGTATGCACACACCCAGGGACACATGTACTGCAAAACAGATACAGAAGTAAAACTGATATCATATATACTGTATATCTAAAGCACCGTTATGTTTTCTTACAGGTTAAGGCTTATGGTCCAGGCCTTCAAAGCAGTGGTTTGGCTGTTGGAAAGCCCACTGAGTTCACAGTCGATGCCAAACAAGGAGGAAAAGCTCCTCTGAAGATCGTGGCTCAGGTGTGTTTCAGCATGTGACCAGAAATGTACTGCATGTGTAGGATCGTCTGGCCCAGATTCAGCTGTTCAGACACCTCTGTCTTTATGTTGTATACACCTCATACTGTAGATCTATGGGATTTTATTAGTATTGTCTTATTTAACTGTTTGGTTTTCCACACCTGCACAGGATGGTGAAGGCACTCCTGTGGATGTCCAGGTTAAGGATAATGGCAACGGTACTTACACCTGTACCTACACCCCACGCAAACCTGTAAAACACACTGTCATGGTCTCCTGGGGAGGAGTCAACATACCTGACAGCCCATTCAGGGTGAGTACACACATACACACACATTTACAGGTGGTTTTACATTTCATCGCAGAAAAGTCTCTTTAGCTGTTGTGTTTCTGACCATAGATGAATATCGGAGCAGGCTGTCATCCAAACAAGGTGAAGGTGTCAGGACCCGGGGTGGCCAAGACTGGCCTCAAGGCCTTCGAGCCAACATACTTCACTGTGGACTGCGCAGAGGCTGGTCAAGGTAAAGCTACATAAAACAGTTGCATCCTTAATAACTGGTGACATGTAAACCATGAGTGGTTTTGACAGGAGATCTGCAGTGATTTTAAAGCTGCAATAATCAGTATTTGTAAATCAACAATAGATCGGATACTGTATGTAATGTGAAAGGCGTCACTCATAGTTAGAAACACAGATAATCGTCACACACTGGCTCCAAGTGGCCAAAAATGAATTAAGACAAAAGAGGCAAAATGGCTGCAGCAGACAACTGAAGAGCATCAGCTGAAACGATCCATGTGTTTTGTTTCCTGTCCTCAGGTGACATCAGCATAGGAATCAAGTGCGCCCCCGGAGTGGTGGGACCCGCGGAGGCCGACATCGACTTTGACATCATCAGGAATGACAACGACACTTTCACAGTCAAATACACTCCCCCTGGAGCAGGCAGCTACACCATCATGGTCCTGTTTGCCGACCAGGTGAGTCCGACTCATGCACTGTTCGGATTATGAATGAGAGCAGAATGTGCATGTGCAGAATCCAAGGTTGACGATTGTGCTCCGTCTGTGCGTTTGAATACAGTGTGGCTTACGTTTGTTGTTTAGGCTATTCCAATGACGCCCATCAGGGTCAAAGTGGATCCTTCTCATGATGCCAGCAAAGTGAAGGCAGAGGGACCAGGACTGAGCCGCAGCGGTAAGACCACCTTTTCAGTCTGAAGTATTTTTTTATTTATCTGTATATTTAAATCTGCAACTTTCTGTTTTCTATTTTCTGTTGAGCTGCAGTGGTGAACACAACCAACTACCTAGTTTTTCTATTTGTTGCAGTCAAACCTCCACAATTACTTAACTGGAATTGCACTCTTAAAAAAATATATTTTATAAACTGCTGGAGTTTGAGAAATGGAAATGAATGAATGAATGAATTAATTAATTCTCTCTCTCTCTCTCTCTCTCAGGTGTTGAATTGAACAAGCCCACTCATTTCACTGTGAACACTAAAGGGGCAGGAAAGGCGAACCTGGACTGTAACTTCAGTGGTCCAACCAAAGGAGAATCCGTCAAGGACTTTGAAATCATCAACAACCATGACAACACACACACTGTGAAATACACACCTGTGCAGCAGGTAAGATGGGAGAGGGAGTCGCACATATGAACGATTCTGATGAACATCCAGTCTCTCTTCACATACAAGGAAAAGTTTGACATTGTGGGAGTTTGCTTTCTAGCCCAGACTTTGATTAGAAGATCGACACCACGCTCATGTCTGTGCGCTAATTATGAAGCTAGAGCTAGAAGACAGTTAGCTTAGCATAAAATTTGAAACAAGGGGAAACAGCTAAAAAACCTCTAAAGCTAATTAATTTACATGTTGCATCCAGTTTGATTAATCTGAACACAAACATAAATGTGGAGAGGTTTTATGTGGTTTTGTCACCAATTCTTGGACACGTTTTATTTTTTTAAAGTTTAAAAGTTAAAGAAATAAGATTATGTTAATTACTGAACTTACTTATTTTTACTTAGCTAGCTAGTCTCTATGCTAAGCTAAGCTAAGATAATCACTCCTGGCTCTAACTCCACATTTCCCAAAAGGTCAAACTGTTCCTTTAACTAGACTCAGTAACGGACACATTTTCATGGTATCCATGGTTACAGATTTGAGAACTGTAATTTGCTTCCATTGATCAACTGTTTGCTGATTTGCCAGCTGTTACTTTTTTATGTAGGTATTGATATTGTGTTATAAGTCAAGGCAGCGTCATTCTGTCTCCCCTTTTTATAATTTATGTGATCCCATCTGCTCCCTCTCCTGCCTCAGGGTCCCATGGGAGTCGCTGTGACCTACGGTGGAGATCACATTCCCAAGAGCCCCTTCAACGTCGCTGTGGCACCCACACTGGACCTCAGCAAGATCAACGTCACAGGCCTCGGAGACAGTACGTACTCTCTCTCTCTCGTACCTCCACACGTTTTGATTTCAGCCCTCAAGTGTAGTATCATTTTGTGTTGCCATACAGCACATAACCCCTGGTCTAATGACCCATTTTGTCTTTGTTGTTACACTCAACCTTTAGCATTTTGCTTGTTTGCATGGAAGCCCATTTGTGCCAGGGAAAGAAAAAAATAAATGAAAAGTAATGCATGATAGATTATTATAATTATTAGATATTAAGTCAGAATTATGAATTTGTATGTTAACACTATGACCTGAGTTAAAAACTTATATAATACCAGGTCAGAAGTACGAGTCATTATTTTGAATTGGTGTCTTGTAATTTTCTTTTCGTGGTTGCCCATATGCAACACCTGTCTGTTCATCATATCAAGAATAGTCTTTTTCTAGCTGGAGTGTTGGTGTGTTTTCAAATCTACAGCGCTCTCTCTGTTCTGTGTGTCACTGTAGAGATGACTGTAGGCAAAGACAAGGAAGTGACTGTCAAATCAAAGGGTGCTGGCGGGCAGGGCAAGGTCGCTGCCAAGGTGACCGGACCATCAGGGAAGCCAGTGGCCAGCAAGGTATGGCATATGATTTCTCTATGAAAAAAGTCTCCAGAAGCCGAGTGTTGATGTTTGAGATGCTTTATTTTTCATAATGTAACTAAATTATTAATGTTGAGCAAAATCTCACATCTCTCACAGACGCTGCTCACATGCTGTTTAATAACTGGTAAAATCCTGGTCATAATTCTTGTTCCAGGTTGAGCCAGGGCTGAGCCCAGAGACCAGCCAGGTGAAGTTCATCCCACGGGAGGCGGGGCCATACCAGGTTGAATTGACCTATGATGGAGCTCCTATTCCTGGATCCCCCTTCACCCCTACAGCTTACCCTGCCACAGACCCCTCCAAGGTTAGCAGCTGTTACTGACAGATGGTGCTGTTACACATCGGTACTGAGCATCAAAAATATGTATAACAGGAAAATTAAACTGAAGCACTTTGTTGCTGAAACACTTTTAGTGATTAATCACTTGCCTCCTCTCGCTTCTCCTGTCAGGTACGCTGCTCTGGCCCAGGCCTGGAGCGTGCCAAGGTCGGGGAGACAGGGGAGTTCATTGTGGACTGTACCAACGCCGGCCCGGCTGAGCTGACCATCGAGATCATCTCAGACAGTGGCACCGAGGCCGAGGTTCACATCCAGGACAACGGAGATGGGACCTACACCATCACCTATATCCCTCTCTACCCCGGCTCTTACACTCTCACCATCCGCTACGGTGGCCAGGATGTGCCCAACTTCCCTGCTCGGCTCAACGTCGAGCCTGCGGTCGACGCCAGTGGAGTCCGTGTGTTTGGACCAGGAGTGGAGGGCAAAGGTGAGATAAGATTGAAATGCTTTACATCTGGTTTTATCTGGTTTGTTATTTTGTGTTTTGGTCACTGTAGTTGGATATAATGCATTTTCATTGTGTATCTCCTGCATATTTATTATGCTGTAGATACATTTTTTATTCCCTTTTGTGAATCTCTAAATGTAATCTAAGCCTAAACCAGCATGACGTGTGACCCCTGTGTTTTCAGGTGTTTTCCGTGAGGCCACCACAGACTTCACTGTGGATGCTCGTGCTCTCACACAGAAAGGAGGCGACCACATCAAAACCCTCATTAGCAACCCGTCTGGCAGCCGCACGGACGCCCTGATCACAGACCGCGGAGATGGGACCTACAACGTTGAGTACACTCCCTACGAGGAGGGTGAGTCCAAACCTAATAAGGTGTGCAGACTTTGTAGGTTTGTCATTGGATTCTCTGGTGTTTATATTGTGTGTGTATTTCAGGCCCACACAGTGTCGAGGTTTGCTACGACGGCTCTCCGGTGCCCAAGAGTCCGTTCCGTGTTGGCGTCACTGAGGGCTGTGATCCAGCTCGTGTTCGCGTGCATGGCCCTGGCCTGAAAGGCGGCATCACCAACAAGCCCAACAAGTTCACAGTGGAAACCCGGTAAGTGAGACGAAACACTCACAAGGAAGAGTTCAAGATGGAAAAGGCGTTTTTTTCCTACTCTTTTTTTTTTTTTTAATGTCCATCATCTTCCCTCCACAGAGGAGCAGGTACTGGTGGTCTGGGTCTCGCAATGGAAGGTCCATCAGAGGCCAAAATGTCCTGCACTGATAACAAGGACGGCAGCTGCAGTGTGGAGTACATCCCATACGAGCCTGGCAAATACAACCTCAACATCACCTACGGCGGACAGCCCATCAAAGGTACTGTGAACTGTTACAGCTTCTGTATCATGTTCCTGATGTTTAATGTATTCTGTGTAGTATTTATTATGATTATAAATCCAAGTTAGCTACATTAAAACATCACCATCCCATCTTGGCACTTTAAAATGCATTGCCCCACTTTTTGTTTGTTTTGTCTGCACAGGGAGCCCATTCTCTGTGCCAGTCAGTGACACAGTGGACAGCACCAAGGTGAAATGCCAGGGTCCAGGCCTGGGCAACAACGTCCGAGCCAACATTCCTCAGGCATTCACAGTGGACGCCTCCAAAGCCGGAGTGGCTCCACTGCAGGTCCGGGTTCAGGGACCAAAAGGTGAGTGTGTGTCTTAATGTGTCTCTGTTCATGATTAAAGCTTGTGTGTTGTGATAGTCTCACACAAAAGGAGTCCTAAGTAAGAACTCAAACACTAACTTCTTTGTGTGTGTGTGTGTGTGTGTGTGTGTGTTCAGGTGTGGTGGAGCCTGTGGAAGTGGTGGACAACGGTGACCAGACTCACACAGTCAACTACGTTCCCACCAGAGAGGGACCCTACTCCATTAATGTGTTATATGCTGACGAGGAGATCCCACGCAGGTAACAACTTCAAAGGGAGATCAAGATTTGCGTATTTTTATTCCTCTTAACTTTTTATGCCTCCACACCGGAGACACCTGCAGCCGGAGGCCGTCTGTCTGTCCCATTCTCATGAGCGTGATATTTCAATATCTTAGTACAAATGTTCACTTGGACTCAAGGATGAACGGATTAGAATTTGGTTTTTTGGCCATAACTCAAGAATTCATACTGTAATTATGACACAGTTTCATACAAAGGTTCCCAAGCTTTTCCACCTCATGGCCCTCTTGAAAATCTCAAAAATGTTGGCAGTCCATATCTAACAATACAGAGGCAAAATAATGAGACGGAACACTTTTAATGCACTTTTAATTTTAATGGTAATGATCAAACATTCAGGATTGAAGGAAGGAAGCTCCTAACAAAAAAGTTCCTAACATTGTCTTATCACGGTGATAGGCCTTAATACGAATATTAAATTACATTTTTTCTCACCATAATTGTACTGTTTTGCAAATGATTTATCGGCCCACTTGCAATACCCATGCAGCCCACCAGGGGCCGCGGCACACAGGTTGGGAACCACTGGTCTAATGAGTCAAAAGTCAACTTCACCATGACATCATAATGTTCTGCAAAAACATTTAAGGCCGTTATTCAACGCTGTAACGCTTAAGGTTGTGACCATACTTCCTGTAGCCGGACTGGTGGATGGAGACGTACAACCAGCAGGAGATAATTCTGGATGTGTTTGTGTTTAACTAGTCCCTTCTCTTGCTCCCTCTGTCAGCCCCTACAAGGTGAAGGTGCTGCCCACCCACGACGCCAGTAAGGTGCGTGCCAGCGGACCTGGTCTTAACACCACCGGGGTTCCCGCCTCTCTGCCTGTTGAGTTCACCATTGATGCCAAAGACGCAGGCGAGGGACTGCTGGCAGTGCAGATCACTGTGAGTGCTCACATCTGATGAAAGAAATAAGAAACTTCTTTTGGTGTCTGTGCTCAAATTTTTGTATCCCTCCACCCTAACCCAGGACCCAGAGGGGAAACCCAAGAAGGCCAACATACGTGACAACCACGACGGCACCTACCTGGTGTCCTATGTGCCGGACATGACTGGCAGATACACCATCCTCATTAAGTACGGAGGGGATGAGATCCCATACTCACCCTACCGCATCAGGGCCCTGCCCACCGGAGACGCCAGCAAGTGCACTGTCACAGGTACGAACAGGATAGTTACTTAGGTTATACACGAGTCTTACTTGTACATTTTCTTTACTTGGTAGGTTATCAAAGCTCTGACTTTTATATAATTAGTCACGCTCAAAAGCCGTTGTGTCGTTGGTCATTTTTTCTTCTGTCTTCTTACTTAAGGAACGACGGTCATTCTATATATATATATATATATATATATGAAAATGAATTTACTGTTAGACACAACACACCCGGCCTTTTCAGACTTTATGTCCCCATATGTCCAAATCTTGTTGCTTCCTGCTGCTGTTCAACGCATTTTACAGGAAACAAGCTCCTCTTGAAACAAGGGCAGCTCAGAGGATGGTTCCTATTTTGTAATAGAAAACATCTTATCCCTCAAAGTGATTAACAAATAAGAAATTATTATGCAGTGTTGTGTTATTTATGTTTCTTCCATTTTTTACTAATTTCATCATTATCATTAGCTTAGCATAATGACTGCAAGCAAGAGGAAAGAGCTAGGCATTATATGTAATTCATTTTATCAGTACAGAAACCATAAGTTGTTGTTTTTACACCTTGGTTTTTGTACTGATTAAACTGATGAGATTTGTTTATTAGTGAGTTTTAAAAGTCCTGTCCCTGTTTCCACTCCCAGTCTCTGTTTATCTAAGCTAAGCAGCTGCTGGCTCTAGCTTCATAGTTAACATACAGACATGAGAGCTGTTTTAGTATCAGCAAACTCTAAAAACACATATTTCCTAAAATGTGAAAATATTCCTTTTAAAAAAAAAAACTTATTTTTATGGTAAAACCAGTTGTGAAAAATGAGATTTTCATCTCTCAGCGTACTTGCTGCTCATATCTCATTATTGTTCATGCATTGGTATGTCGTGTTCCTCACGCTGTGCTCCTCAGTTACACCCCTCCCCCCCACCCTCACCCAAGTCCCTGCTGTACACACACACATACACACCACCACCACCACCCCCCCCCTCCCTGCTTCACACTCCACCATCACCGTTTTGTTTTCATCCAAGTGTTTGGAGCACAGTTATTGCCTCCCACCACCCCCACCCCCACCTGACTGTCTTTTATTTGTCACTTTTTTTTCTCTCGCTCCCCTGCTTCTCACCGTTCCTATTATCAGTCTCAATCGGCGGTCACGGTTTAGGTAAGAGCCTCCTGAACGACTTTGTAATGTAGAGGAACTGCTCTACCTTCTCTCTCTTTTCTGTCAGCATGGAGGATAGTGGCACCAGCTTTCAACAGGACATCCCATCTTTCTGTCGCCTCTTCTCCTTCTTCTGTCTCTCTCTCCCATACCTGTGTTTTCCTCCCATCTGTTGTACCATTCTTCTCTCATAACTCTTTCTCTGTTTCCCTCTCTCATTTTTATTGGACTGACTAATGGACTAACAGAGTAGGTAGGATGGCATGGTGGAATGGCACTTTGGCAATCTAGCTTTCAGTTCTAACTGGAAACTGTATGATAATAACACATGAGTCAATGGTAACAACGTACATTAGATGGAAATAACATGACTAGATCTCATCCAACTTTAACCTGGTCTCATGTGTAATGTGCATGCTGAGAGGTGAGAGTGTGCCTGTTTGTGTCTCTGTGAAAAACCATAACAAACACTGACCTTCTCTTTCCGATCCTTGAAGGCGCCGGCGTTGGCCCAACCATCCAGATTGGAGAGCAGACAGTCATCACGGTGGACGCCAAGGCTGCTGGGAAAGGCAAGGTGACGTGCAGCGTGTGCACACCTGAGGGGGCGGAGCTCGACGTGGACGTTGTGGAAAACGAAGACGGCACATTTGACATCTTCTACACGGCGCCGCAGCCTGGCGAGTATGTCATCTGCGTCCGTTTTGGAGGGGAGCACATCCCCAACAGTCCCTTCCAAGTCACGGTGAGTTTATACGGGATAGGGTGCTCTTTTACCGCAACAGTCAAAGCAAATCACAGACAGAGAATAATTAAAAATGGTGCTGAAGTTAGAGGCAGAAGGGTTCGAATCTTTCCTGATTCCATGACACTGCTGCAGGAAAAATGCAGTGGTTTGTGTTATAGTTATCACCAGCAACAGACCTGAATAATGTAGTAATTTTTCATCAGCAACACAGTTTAAAATCGTACCACCTGCATAAAGATGAATTTTACACACACAGCAGAGATCTCATTTATGTAAATGGTGAACAGAAGAGCAGTTTATACAAATATTTTTCCTCTCACTACATCCTGTCTGGTCTTGAACAAAACAACAGTAACAGCATGAAAAATATGTTCTTTCTGACAGTTAGTACAGAATAATACAACAACAATAATAATCAATATTTTCACCTTTTAAAAAAAAGTGTATAACTAAGAAATCTGTGCATGGCTGCAGGAAGGAAAATCCATATTAAGCTGGAACTAGTAAGCTGCTTATATGTAGGCTATAGGCTAATTCATTTATCTGAGTTTTTTCTGCACTTTATTCTGTCGCAAGCAGCTGCAGATGCAAGTGCAGTGCTTATTACCTTATGGAGATATTGCGAGCATCCCTGTTGTGAAAGTAATTAATAGTATATATATTATTTGTAGTGATCGAAAAGGTGAAATTATGCATAACACAATATTTGTCAGTATTTATACGCCACTAAATCAAGTTTCCCTAGCATGTTGCTCTCAGGTCTCAAAATAAGTCTTTCAAGTCTGAATCAAGTCTCAAGTTTAGATCTGGTGAACAGGATGGGGCCCACTGTGGATCCCTGCAGCACACCCTTTTCCTACCTTCACACACTGACGTGGGTAAAGAAGTAAAGATGATCTACTGTAGTATAAATATGGGGGCAGAGTGTTTATTATTGTCTAAACCTAACTTAGTAGTAATTACATCATTCAGACGACAATAACAGCTGAGATGTTGCTATGATACTTTGGATGCAGTGCATTTACAAGGAATACCCTCAACTGTATTGACCAGCGATTCCACAGGCAGGACTTGGCTAAAATAGGACAACAAACAGAGCAACCAACAGACACTTAGCTCTGTTTGTGTTTGGTGTAAAAGCGTGAGCGTGAGAGTTTTTGTACGGACCAAAGATCCCTGGCACTGTTTCTCCCTACAGACGCTTCGTGATTGGGTCCTGTTGGCACCAGACATTTTCAAAATCACTCTGACTACTGTTTTATTTCCCTCCAATCCCTTCCGTCCTTTTTACCCTGTCCATCCCCTACACCACCCCTGCCTCCCCCCCTCACCACCTCCCACCCCTGTCAGGCGCTGGAAGGAGCTCCATCAGACCAGCTCATGCAGCAGAGCCAAATGCCCCAGTACTACGCTCAACAGCCCTGGGTACCTAAAACCTCTGTCTCCAGCCTCTCTCATCCTTGTCAACTCCATTTTTGTTCAACTTCCTCCATTCCCCTCTTACTCTCCTCCTTTCTCTCATCACCCCCTCATCAGCCTGCATCAGTGTCTGCTGCCTCTCATTGCAGGTGTTTCATCTCTGAGGGGGCTTTTTCTCTCTCATCTCAGAAACAGGATTCCTCAAACACATGGACAATGCAAACAGAGCTGCATAATTTACAAAACACATGAATATTTTTCTCCCGGGAGTAGCAGCAAACTTGTGCACACACATTTTATTCAGCGGCATAGGAAATATTTCCCTCGCAATTTGGGGATTAGATATTTTCCACACATCATTGTGCAGCCCATCTGTTCCGCAGTGCTCCATGTCGACTCGCTTACAAGACAAAAGCAGCCATTTTGAGAATCATCAATGTGTGCAAGTCAGCTGCTTCACATTTTACAAAATGGCTAACTGTGAACCTGCCAGTGTTTTTGTCCTCATCTCCTTCTCTCTCGCAGTTTGTGTCGGTGTCATCATCCTGACCATGATCACCATTGTCATCTCCATTGTCGATCATTCCATCTCATGATTGTCTCATCCCATTTTGTGTGTTGGTGTTTGGAAGCTTATATCCCTTTGTCCTGCTCTGCGTTGATACATTACTGTAACCACACCACATCACCACAGCCTCCTCACAGTGTATCTCTGGCTTTTGTCTCCCAGGCAACAGACAGACCAATGGGAATGAATGGTCTGGATGTGGCAGGGCTGAGACCGTTTGACCTGGTCATCCCATTCACTATCCAGAAAGGAGAGATCACAGGTAACAAAAACAAGTCTCCGTTTACAACGAACACGGACAGATTGGACCCCAGTCTGTCTTACACGATGATTTCCATGTTACATGTGTCTCATGGTATTTTTCTGTGCGCTGCTGAAGGCGAGGTCCGAATGCCGTCAGGCAAGGTGGCCAAGCCTGACATCACAGACAACAAGGACGGCACTGTTACAGTCAAGTACGCTCCCACTGAGGCTGGTCTGCACGAGATGGACATCAAATACGACGGCATCCACATCCCTGGTACAACTTACCTCTGAAGTGTTGGCTGAAATACAAGAGGAATTTATAACCTCGAAGGTGCATGAAAAATCATCTCTTCTTTCTTCCTTCCGTCCCTCCTCCTTCTCTCTGTTGTCATTCACAGGAAGTCCCTTACAGTTCTACGTGGACTACATGAACAGTGGTAATGTCAGTGCCTATGGCCCAGGCCTCATCCATGGGACCGTCAACAAACCTGCTGTCTTCACTGTTAACACTAAAGACGCTGGAGAGGGTAAGTAGCAGACATTTATAGAATCCATATATTATAAAATTGGTAATACAGGGACAAATGTCATCACACAAGACACTATGTTCATATTATGTCTTTGTAGGAGGTCTGTCTCTGGCCATTGAGGGTCCATCCAAGGCAGACATCAGCTGTGTGGACAACCAGGATGGGACATGCACTGTGTCCTACCTGCCTGTCCTGCCCGGAGACTACAGCATCCTGGTCAAATACAATGACAAGCACATCCCTGGCAGCCCATTCTCTGCTAGGATCACTGGTAATATTATTTATTCTCACAGACCAAACCATTGTTATTAACTCCTGAATTCCAGTTCAAAGTCGGTCCATTTGCTGTGGAACAAGTTTTTGGATAATATTTGGGAACATTGGGAATGCTCTGATGCTGGCCTGTTAAAGTTCAGGTTACCAAGCAAACACCTCAGTCAAGAAAAGATGAAGAAACCCGTCTTGCTTGTGTGTTTAATGTCAATACAGCGAGGGTTGTGCCTTCTGTGTATAGAAACTCTGGCAGTTAGGCCAAAGCTTAACCTTTTTTGTTGATAAAAATAGTAATAATGCAGTCAATTGTCAAAATGTAACTTACCTGTCATTGTTTTGTCTCCAGGTGATGACTCCATGAGGATGTCCCATCTGAAGGTGGGCTCAGCTGCAGATATCCCACTTGACATTGGAGAGCTTGACCTCAGTCAGCTGACCGCCTCCCTCACCACACCCTCGGGCCGCGAGGAGCCCTGTCTGCTGAAGATGCTTCGTAACGGACATGTCGGTGAGTGCGTGTTTGGTGTAAGCAAAGAGAAATTGACTGAAATGAAAAGAAGCTGTTTATATTTTTATTCTTTGTTTTAAACCTCCCCCCCTGTTTTATTGCCTGGTCTGTCACAGGCATCTCATTTGTTCCTAAGGAGATTGGAGAGCACCTGGTGAACATCAAGAAGAACGGTCGCCATATTCCCAGCAGCCCCATTGCTGTCATGATCAACCAGTCAGAGATCGGTGATGCCAGCCGTGTGCGTGTGAGCGGCCAGGGCCTGAGTGAGGCCAGGACCTTTGAGCCTGCTGAGTTCATTATCGACACTCGTGATGCAGGTACACACTTGATAAAAATACTTCCACGTGTTAGTTTGTTATGTTTAATTTTAAGTCATCAACATTTTATATTTATTACACCTCTGTCATGTTTTTTCCCGTACAGGCTATGGTGGTCTGAGCCTGTCCATTGAGGGACCCAGTAAAGTAGATATTAACACTGAAGACCAGGAGGACGGCACCTGTAAGGTCACTTATTGCCCCACTGAACCTGGAAATTACATCATCAACATCAAGTTTGCAGACCAGCATGTGCCAGGTGCTTACCTTGAAACAGCCAGGTATTAGGTTACGGAGTAGTTTTGTTCTGAATCACTAAACTGACTCAATCATTGTGTGTGTGTGTGTGTGTGTGTGTGTGTGTGCACAGGGAGCGCATTCACGGTGAAGGTAACAGGGGAGGGCAGGATGAAGGAGAGCATCACCAGGAAGAGGAGAGCAGCATCAGTCGCCAACGTAGGCAGCCAGTGCGACCTCAGCCTCAAGATCCCAGGTGATAAAAACAGGAAATGCCATTACAATACATCTCTATGGTCATGGTGGAAACTCCACATTGTAACACAGTTGGTGTGCTTTGCATCTGTCACAGAAATCATTTTTTCACCATTAAAATGGTAACCTTGGTGTTGATGAATTAAGAGAAAGCATTTGTCTGTTATTCATTGTTCATTTTATGACCTTGAGCTATTTTGTAAGTTATTGCTATTGCTACGTAGCTAATGTTAGCATTAGCAGCTTTTTACTTACCAGTCTAGAAGAAACATTGCGAGTTCAGCATCAAACTTCATTTTGCTGTTACACTTTTATTTGGTCTGGTATGACCAGTAGCTTATAGCGGCTAGTGTTGGCTAGTCTTAAAATTTAGATTGATATTGCTGTGTAATTGACTTCTGTTACAGTATGTCTTAGCAGTTAGCATTATACCTGTATTGTCAAATTAAAAGATACCATTTATTGGTAGTAAACTGCATCTCTCACTCAGCAGATTTGTTGCTACAGTCTTACTTGGTCTAGTATGACTATTAGCTAATGGTTGCGGTTTAGCTAATGTCAGCATACTTCAGCAACATTTTGCTTTGTAACTGACATCATGACTCTTTTCCACTTGTGCTACTGTCGTAAATAACTTTAGAAGTGCTGGTTGGTGGATTTTGTTACCTTTGGAATAAATGACCACTGAATCTTGCCTCATATAGAGTAGAGTCTCATTTTATTCACGTGTTTTCAATGATTCAAACATTTGTCTCTGCAGAGATCAGCATAGCGGACATGACTGCTCAGGTGACCAGCCCGTCTGGCCAGATTCACAAAGCTGACATTATGGAGGGAGAGAACAACACCTACTGCATTCGTTTTGTCCCCACTGAGACGGGTGTGCACACTGTGTGTGTGAAATACAACGGCGTGCACGTACCCGGCAGTCCGTTCCAATTCACCGTCGGCCCCCTTGGAGAGGGCGGGGCTCATAAGGTTCGTGCTGGAGGGCCAGGCCTGGAGAGAGCAGAAGCTGGAGTACCAGGTTAGTGCGGTGGCTTTATTATTAGTATTGTGTGTATTTATGTTGTGATGTGTTTTTACACAATGTACCTAACTTTGTTTTTGCCACTGTGTTATGTGTAGCTGAGTTCAGTATCTGGACGAGGGAGGCTGGAGCCGGGGGTCTCAGTATTGCTGTGGAGGGGCCAAGCAAGGCTGAAATTGCCTTTGAGGATCGCAAGGATGGCTCCAGTGGAGTGTCCTACATCGTGCAGGAGCCTGGTGAGAGAAGAGACAGGGAAAGGTTGAATGGATGATAACTGAGCATGTGCTGCAGACAGAAATTCACTAATGTTTAAATGTGTTATTTTTTATTTAATGCTGTTTTTTTGTTTTGTTCTACACTCTTGTCCTTTTTTGGCATTAATGGTGTAATTTTTTGTGAAGGAATCTAATCTATATACTGTATGTGTGCTGTGGAGGCCTGTGTTTTAGTGACTTTCTGACATGAAATCTATTCCCCTGTAGGAGACTATGAGGTGTCCATTCGTTTCAACGAAGAGCACATCCCTGACAGCCCCTTCATCGTCCCCGTGGCCTCACCATCAGACGACGCCCGTCGCCTCACTGTTGCCAGTCTTCAGGTGAGGCTCTGAGACACACACACGTCCGTGTGCCGACACACCAGGCCACAGTACACTGCCCACAATGCAGCAGCAGCAGCTCGTACTTTGACTTTCTTTGTCCAGGTGTGGACACAATACAACGCAGTACAAGAGACTTGTAAGAAGTCTTACCTTAATGACAGTTTTAAAGTCCAGTTTTTGTGGTTTTACATGATAAACAAATATTTTCAGCTCATGAGGTGTGGAGTTGGTAACAAAGGCAGATGCTGATATATTTAAGTCAAATATGTAGCCAAGTAGTGAATGTTTTAGCAGGCCAACATGATTAGAGTTGCGATGAGTAAAGTTCAGAGGTACAGGCATAGGATGAGCTGCTGCTGCTGCTGTGTTGTTGGGCAGTGCAAGGGCTTCTGGGAAACTAGAGGACTGTGTGTGTTTCTCGTGCCTCATTCTAAAGGCTCTCAACAGCCTCCCACCTCTAAAAGTGATACGGGGCGCTAAAGGGTTAAAGAGGTCTGACATGGGCTGTTTTTCCTCTGTTGATGCTCACAAGTAAATACAACACTATGTAAGTTCATTTCTGACAGAAAAAGAAGAAAATAGATGAAACGTTATGCAGGATAAGAATAGAAATACTCATTATAAATATGAATTATGAGCTAATAAGTAAATATCATGAGATAGTAAGTTCAAATGATGACATCATCATCTCATAATCAAACATTTGTCTTTCTCATAATGTGGACTTGAGTATTCTGATTTTTATCCTGCCTAACTTTTTACCTATATATTTTTTCTGTCATAAATGGGCTGACTTTCACACATTCACAGATGTGCTCACACATAGTCACACAGATATACTCACAGATAATCTGTCAAACTCTCACACTGGCTCTTCTTCACTTTTTCCTTCTCCGTCTTCTTCAGTTTCTTACACAAACATCTGCTTCGTCTGTCTTTTTTTCACTACACAGCCCTCCTCTTTAGCCTTGTTAGCGACCTCCAGGTAAGGTAGATAGTAGCATAAGTTATGTGAAAATGATACTGTGGTGGTCATGATGCTATTCAGTAGACGGTAATGACAAGTATTTGCTGATTGTCAGTTGTGGGTGACACAGTGTTGAGTGTGTTAGTCTGTGTTGTCGAGCAGGAGTCGGGTTTGAAGGTGAACCAGCCAGCATCATTTGCCGTCAGCCTTAACGGGGCGAAGGGTGTGATTGACGCAAAGGTCCACAGCCCATCTGGAGCTCTGGAGGAGTGTTGCGTCACTGAGATTGACCAAGGTAACCACAGACATGACATCCAAACTCATCTAAACATCCTCCGACTGCTCACACTGAACTAATGATGGACCGGAGAACAGATTTTCAGGCACCTTACCTTTCACCTGTGTGTTTGTCTAGATAAGTACGCAGTTCGGTTCATCCCCAGAGAGAACGGTCTCTATCTAATTGATGTGAAGTTTAATGGAAGTCACATCCCTGGTAGTCCGTTTAAGATCCGAGTTGGAGAGACGGGCCAGGCTGGAGACCCCGGCATGGTGTCTGCCTATGGACCAGGACTGGAGGGAGGCACCACAGGTAACACTGCTGCTGTGCACAACACAACAGAAATAGTAAAACAGGAGTGTATTTCATTACATTAAACTCCATCATCTCCTCCATCCTCATCATTCTGTCTCATTTGCATCCAGGAACTGCTTGTGAATTTGTGGTGAACACGAGCAACGCAGGCCCTGGCGCTTTGGCTGTGACCATCGACGGGCCCTCCAAGGTGAAGATGGACTGTGTGGAGTGCCCCGAGGGCTACAGGGTCACATACACCCCAATGGCCCCTGGCAACTACCTAATCTCCATCAAATATGGCGGTCCTTACCACATCGTGGGAAGCCCCTTCAAGGCCAAGATCACTGGTGAGGGGGATTTAAAAATAGAACAAATAAAAATTAATATAATTACCGCCAAGATTAACTTATACCGTCTTCTCCATTTTCCAGGTTCAAAGCTCGTGGCCAGCCACAGTATGCACGAAACTTCTTCTGTCATGGTTGACCCTGTGACCCGTGCCATCAGCTGTTCTCAACAGGGTGCTCCCACCCAGTCAGATGCCAGCAAGGTGGTGGCCAAGGGCCTGGGCCTGACCAAGGGCTTCATCGGTCAGAAGAACAGCTTCAGTGTTGACTGCAGCAAAGCAGGTGTGTGTGAAGTAAAAGTTCTTCTTTTTTGGTCTGATATTTAAATTGTGAATGTCACCGCTGCCTCCCAAATACATACAATTTAAAAGCTCATAATAATGTTTGGCTGTTGTCACAATCAGTAATAAATCATAATGAGTTCAGCAGTCTAAACACAGAGTCTAATTTCTGCCTGAAGAAAAACAAAGCTTAGAATATGTTCACACTTTACAAAATTAATTAATATTTTCCTCATATGTTAATGATATGTCATCCACTCGCAACCCATCTGCTGTTAATCAGAATGTTAATTAGCGTATAAACTATCCCATTGCTTGCTAATTGAGGCACAAATAAAATTCAATATAAGTGTACAGTATCACACTAGCTCTAAGTTTTAAAGTGGTCTCATTTATTTATAGTCATATAATAAGCTAATAATAATATATTGATGCTAATTCTCATCGGTTCTGTCTCCACAGGTCGTAATATGCTCCTAGTTGGTGTGGACGGTCCCAAGGTCCCCTGTGAGGAGATCCTAGTGAAACATTTGGGCAGCCGCATGTACAATGTCAGCTACCAGCTCAAAGAGAAGGGAGAGTACATCCTGGTGGTCAAGTGGGGAGACGAACACATCCCTGGCAGCCCCTACCACATCACTGTCTAAAACCCAGCCCCACAATCAGAAACTTATACCACTGTTTAAATCAACCTAACCAATCATTGTTTACAGCTCCAAGCCCCTTCCATGTTACAAATTAAGATTTCTGGCTTTTTTTTTTTTTTTTTTTTTTTGCTTGTTATTTTATGATTATTTAACCAACTAGAAAACAAAAGTCTCACATCAGTGTTTACCCTCAGCCAGATAATCTGTATTTTTCCACTAGTGAATATTTTCAAACCAACATCTTCACTGTAACCCAGTCCAAAGATAAATGCATAGACACTGAATATTCCTCTCTTCATTGTCATTCACTCTGTTTCTTGTCTCATTCTTCTGTTAATCACATCATTCAGTAAATTTAGGGAGGAGAAAGAAGCACCTTTTTCATTACTGTAAACTAGCAGTCGATTGTGCCTTAGGCTATTTTACATTTTCCGTCGTGGACATTTGCAGATGAGTCTGAACTAGTGTATGGTGATAGGCTAGCTTAGCATAGTGTAGCAACAGTAGATTTTGGCCCAGCTGAGCCCGGCATTGGATGGAAGGTTACAGTTTACACTGGAGGAGCTACTCTTATATACAAAATAATGGATTCAGTTTTATATGAGCTTTTATATGAACAAAGAGAGTCAGAAGTAATGTGCTTTCCTGACCCTTGGGTTTATATGAAAGACACACTTTGTTTTAAGACCTTTAATTGTCCGTATAAATCCGTGTAAAAGTCAGATGAACGGCTTGTCTGTTACTAACACAGGGGTAGTCTTTGTAGTGTTGGTGCCCAGTTAATGCTCAGCACTGGCCCAGTCCACTCCAGCATGTGGTGTTCATGATTTTCCTTAACTAACCCAGTTGTTTTACCTGCTGCTAGTGTGATCCAGTTTTAGGCACTGCTGTTCTTAAAACCGTAATACGGATTAGAGTAGGGAAATAATACAGAAAAGAAAATTTAAGATAGGGCGACAAAAAAGTGAGCAGAGAGGAGAAAGACACATTTCACAGTAGCTTGTGGTTTGTCTCACACGCTCTCTTGACACCGCTGCTGGGAAACGCCGCTTTCTGTGTGTTTTAACGCGTGTGATCCCAACATGTGCTCTGCATGTTCATTAGGTTGTAAAACTCTTCAGATACAGAAAGCCTCTGATTCAGGAAAAAAAAAACATTGACATGACCTGCGGTGCGATTGTGGCGGTTCAACTTCGACTATGGAACTTTTGTCAGATAAATTAAAAAGGTTTAAAAAGGGAAGTTTCTAAAGTTGCGCTGGACAGAGGGGCTGAAGACGATGTCGTGGTTTGTCATGTCCTGAAAACACGATGACCAAAAACAAAAAGAACAGATGTTGCTTTGTTTTCTGCTCAGTGTTTGTATCTCACCCCTTCAGCCGCCACCCACCCCCCTCCCTTCATCCTTCCAGCTCGCTTTGTGCGTAATCTATATTTCAGAACAAAAAAAAAATGAATCTTGTCCTAAATAAAGGCTTTAAAAGTGTTTGTAAGACAGTATTTTGATACACAATAAAGTTGTCTAAGTATTTTTCTGTCAATCTACTGGTTTGTTTGTTTTGTGTCCTTATAAATTAATGAAAACTTTGTCCTGTTCACTTTGAATGAAATGATAAATTAAGATTCTACTGTCTAAATCATGACAAGTACCAAACAAGAAAACATAAATTTAATCAAAATGAATTGATATTGTACTCTACAGTGTATCTGTGATGCTCTCTAATGACATTATAGTAAGCTTTAAAAACTTTCTAGCATATAGTTTCTTTACATTTACTAAAGTACTGTACTTATTTCCAATTTATGCGACATTATTCACCCACTCCACTGCATTTTAGAGGAAAGTATTGTACTTTTTACTCCTCTACATTTATTTCACAGCTTTAGTTACTAGTTACTTTAAAGATTAAGATTATATATATCAATCTTTTAAAAAAGAACATGTGATTAAACCAGTGGTTTCCAACTTTTTTGGCTTCTCATGTCTCACAAAAATCAGTGTGTCATCAGGGTCACAGTTCAGATGTTCAGATAACAGAAAACAACAAATAACAAAGATTAGAGAAAAAGTTCTTTCCTCTCCCGTTAATCACCTGATGACCCCTCAGATTTATCTGGTGTCCATATAATAATGAATCAGTCAGATGAACCAAACTAGTACTTTTACTTTAATACTTATGTACTTTTACTTCAGTAGGGTTTTTCATGCAGGATTTACTTGTAATGGAGTATTTTCACGTTGCTGTGTTGGTGCTTTTATTTCAGTAAACTATCAAAATACTTCTTCCACCACTGAATGTTGGTGTAACAGATGTTTTCCAGTGAGTGGAAAATGTGTACATTACTGGAGTCTGCAGCCAACGCCCTTCCTGGAAAACTGCAACTCCTTATTAGGCCTGACTCACTTTTACCTCCAGAGGCCGCTGCAGGAGAGGGAAGCTGATGGAAAGTCTTACTTAATAACTTCATAACATTGTTTAGACAAAGCTTTTGAACATTTATGAGGACATTTGTTTAAATTATAGCCTAATTAAGGCCAACTTGATGTAGCCAAGTGACTTGTAACAAGAATAAATGCTGCTCAAAGAGACTCAGGAAGAAACTACATGTAGTATCAAATACATTTTTAAGAAGAGCACCAAAATTCAAGTAAGTTGTCAATAGATGGGGATCTTTATCATAATCATTATTCATTTTAGTAGTAGTAGTGGCTGGCTTGTAGTAGCCTACTTTTTCCAGCTTTATTTGATTTGTACACACTCATGCAAAATCATGAAAAATAAAAAACAAGAACACAGTAGGTATAAATAAAATAAAATAGAAAATATAGATATAGCATATAGATAAAATATAAACAGGACAAAGGATAGGACCTGAATTGGTGTTTTTTGTTGTTGTTTAGTTTTCATTAAATGAATAGTCCTACACAGCAAAGAAAATTTCACATAAATACATTCATAAAATAAATATATTCAGAAATATAATTTCTACACTTCTATGATTTGTAGGATAAATGCCTAATTTTTTTTAATGTACCTCTGTAACTTTTTTGGTGAGGAAATATTTGTTATTAAAGAAACTTAATAAACATAATTCTGGATAAGTATTAATAGGAAAGTATATTTCAGTATGGAGTTTCAGCGCTTAGTCTGATGTATCTCATTTCATTTCTATTCTTTGTATTGATACAATGTAACATCATAGCTGTCTGTCCTTAACACTGACTGAACCTAATAGCAGTTATTTTGACTGCACAGGTGTTACAAATGAGAGCACTCTCTTTTCCCTCTGTCACTTATCTTCTGTGCGAAACGGCCGTAGTTTTTAAAACGTCACAGTGTTACGTTTAACACTGCCATATACTCCTCTGCAGACACTGGACATTACTTAAAATATTCAGTACAAAAAAAAATTTCGACAACAGACTGAATGAAGGAGTTTTTGACCCAGAAGTAGTCCAGCAGTAGGTGTGACAAATAACGTCTTCCATGGAAGCTACGCCCACTCTGCCGCTCCAGTCTGCTCAGTTTCGTCCTGCTGTTGGCCGCATTTTTAACACAGAACTCTCTAATCTTTCGCAAGGGTGAGTGAAATAATTTTAATTTCAACTTCAAACATGTAAATCTACCCGTTTCTTTCTTCAGTGGCTTGCGTTAACCGTTTGCGCGAGATTTAAAAAAAAAAAAAAAAAAAAAACGCGAAGTCTGTTGTATATCGTTACTCTGACGTTTTCTCGCAGTATTATTAATGTAAAGCAGTAAATGTGTCCTAACAATGAAATACTTGGTTTAGAGATAAATTTCTAGGCCTATTCCTGCTGGACTGTAGTTTGGCGGGCAGTTTTACTTCACCAGTCTCCTCCCTTTTCTCCCTGTCCATTCTATCTATCTATCTATCTATCTATCTATCTATCTATCTATCTATCTATCTATCTATCAGCAGATGTCTTTGAGTGAGAAAAGTGTGGAGGAGATCAGCAAGTTGCTTGATGAGTATGGCATCAAACATGGACCCATAGTAGGTAAAAAAAAAAAACCCAAAACACACACACACACACACACACACACACACACACAAAATCAGCATTTCCAAACAGTCATTAATCACTGTCATTACTGGACTCAGAACCAACACTTTATCCCGATCGTAGCTTAGACTGAGAACTGTAATCCATAAAATGATTGTAAAAGTGATTTCAGTGCATCAGTTTACGCATCTTATTTCAAAGCAGGATTTACTTGTAATGGAGTATTTTCACGTTGCTGTATTGGTGCTTTTATTTCAGTAAATGATCAAAATACTTCTTCCACCACTGAATGTTGGTGTAACAGATGTGTCCATTGAGTGGAAAAAGTCATGTTCTTCATGTTAATTAGCTCCACTACTTCTTTATATTTGTCTGTACTCAGTCGTCTGTCTGCATAGGAGACATTACACCTTAATGTATTTTTTGTTGATGTGTTTGTGTGAACATAGACTCCACTCGAAAGCTGTATGAGAAGAAGCTTGAGAAGGCCATGGAGAACGCTCCGGTGAACACCTCCTCTGACAAGACCTACTACAGAGAGGAAGGTATGAAGCTCTGTCACTTGGTTGATTGTTCATTTTTGAGTCTATAAATTTCCTACATTTGAAAGTTGCAGTTTATTGTGTCATCTCAAACTTGAAGCTGTCAATGTTTCACAACTGGCAAAGATATAATAAAATTTGACGCTTACTTTTAATAATTCATTTGGACAGCTACTCGTCTCTTTACTGGACTTGACGTACAGCTCTTGTTTTATGTCTTTTGTGGAGCTGCAGCTACGTATTATTTTCATCATTGATTAATCTGTCAGTTATTTTCTCAGTCAAAGCCCCAGCCCAAACCAACAATCCAAAACCTAAAGATAATCAATTTACTATCACATCAAATAAACAATGATAGGAAAAACGCATAAACGAGAAGCTGGAACAAGGGAGGGTTTGCTCCTTAAAAAATGTTTTAAACAATTAATCAGTGATCACAATAATTCTACACACTAACAATTCATTCACACATAAAAACAATCTAAATCCGGGAAATGTGATAATGTAAGAAAAGAGCTGAAATGGTAAAGGTTAATGTCAGTGGTCCGGTCTGTAGCTGGTCAACAAAATGTTGAATGGACTGCATTTATACAGTGCTTTTCCAGTCTTATCTACCAAAAGCGCTTTACACTACAAACGCTTCTTCTACCATTCACACACCTATTACAAATCTGGGGCAATTTGGGGTTCAGTATCCTGCCCAAGGACATGCACACTGGAGGGGCCGCGAGTTGAACTACTGACCTTCCGATTAGTGGATGGCGTGCTTCACCTCTGCCCTGCATGTCAGCAAGTGTCCAAAGTGCAAGTTATTTTTCAATAAATGGAAAAAAAAATACTTTCAACTCAAATCTTTTGCTGCTGACTTTTCTGTCTTCCTTTACACGGAGTGAAAGTCGTTCAGTATTGACTGAGGCCTCCCAAGGTTTGGATCAGGTCATTTTGTGCCCATTATTAAAAACAATAATGAACGCTCTGTGTAGATGCATAACCACCTGAAATCTACACAAAGTACTGTGGCCTTTGATTTGATGCCTGACCTGGCAGTGACTGCTGAAGTAAGAGCAACATTTCCTCCAACCCTGAACATGCGCTCACTCAGAAGCATTGAACGTCATTAACAATAGAAGAGTTGATCTTACATAACATGGGTGTAAATTAGCAGAATTATATTTACAGGTGTGTCTGTAAATGTGAACCACAGTCTTCAACACCAGGAGCTTTCATCCTGCCATCTGTTGTTCATTCTCTGTGAACACTACATTTCTATCATCATCATCTTATCATATTATTAAAACAAATACACAGAAGAGTCAATACATGCCTATTTTACTGAGGTTGAAACTGTGTTTTTTCTTTTCTTTTTCTTTTTCTTTTTTTCTTACAGAGGAGGAAGTTACCTACATCACATACCACAGTCCGGTGAGTCCTGATTGTCAGCTTGTCCCTGTCGGTTTGTTACTCCTCTGCTCTCTGACTGTAAATAACCTCACAAACTATTCTGCTTTCTTTTGCACAGGTTAGACATGAGGGTTACGCAGACATGTGAGTACAGCTTTAACACACACATACACACACACACACACACACACACACACACACACACTGAGAGAGAGAGACCATAGCAGAGAGACATTGAGTAACAGAGAGTGCGAGAGAAACACAAATTAAAAGATGCATTATAAATATACTTTAGAGCAGCTCTCAGAACAACTTTCGTTACTTTTCTTTTTTACCTGCTGCTCCGTCCGGCTTATTGTCCCTGACTGTTAATGGCTCACAGCAGCTTCAGTCCAGTGTGGGAAGAATGCACACATGGTGCAAAAGTGTCCTCTCGTCAACCACAACTCCAAGTTCAGCAGCAAAAACCTTTAGTTTTGAGGTGTCCAGCTTCAGATCTTGTTTAGCTGCACTTTATGCAAATCAGATGTAAACTGTGGCAGGGCTCATACATCTGTAGTCTTAATAATTACCTCAATAAAATAAATGAAAATGCAGTGATTTAAAAATGTGAAACATTTACAGCTGCATAAATTCAATGAGTTCATTGAAATTTAAATGTAAAATTTTCTTCCTCCCAGGCTGAAACGAAGAGGCAACGCAGAGTCAGATGAGGACGACGAATCAGACCAAGATACAGAGTGAGTCTTGCAGCTATAAACTAATGGTGTCTTTGATCAAATTAGTTCACCACCTTGTCTAAATCTGCTCTTTCCTCCTGTGCTTCAGGCCCCCCATCCAGATGACGAACAGAGCAGCCAATCACAGCACAGTGCGATCTAAGGAGCCGGTCAGAAAGTCTGGGGGCAGCATGTGGAAGGCGATTCGGATGCTGCTGCTGTTAGCTGTGTTAGCAGCTGTCGTCTACTACGCCTACTGTCACGTGATAAACAATGAAGAAAATTATTTTGGGGTTCAGTGATCTCATCTGTTTTTAAGATGTCAGGGTTGTTTTTCATTTGGCATTTCTTCTCCTGTAATATTTAGGTGGGGATTACTGTTTTTCAATGTTTGTTTGTTGTTTGTTGTTTGTTGTTTATTGTTTTCTTATTCCAATACACAGTTTTCCCACTGTGGACCCTTGAAATGCTAATGATACCACATTCCATGAACTTTTAAAGGCTCGCCATGTTCTGTATTTCCTAGTGTCACCAAATCCCATGAAATGTCAAAAAGAAAAAACAGACTAATACCCCCTGCTGCCCCATATACAAACTAGAGCAGCAAATAGTCCCCAACAAATGCACTGGGTAACCTTTGCTGAAAACTACAATGCCCAGATGTTTTATGACATTATTGATTCTTTTTTTAGAAATTAAAAACTATATAATCAAAGATTTCCTTTGGGCTGAAAGCCACAGACAGAATAGGAAAGTCAGACAGTACGGAGACAGACCGACACCTGGTTTGTTGGGTCATGATTTTCATGGGATTTGCTAACAGTAAAAAAACTAAAGAATAATGCTGCTCCTCTCCTTTAATTTCTTTGCTTTCTTGCATAAAATGTTGTACAATGTTTTCAAGCCATGCAGAGTTTTGTGTATGTCATGTCTTTTATGCAGCTTTTCTCTATTATGTGATTTGTTCTTATTTGTTAGATATATATGATGTTATGGAACACAACAGACTTGTGATACTGTCTTTCATGTGTCCAAGCTGCCCTCCACATCATGACCAATTAAAAACCAAAGACTGTTTTCCATATGCTGAGCCCACCTGCCTAATTTCCATTCATTTGCATATGTAAATGTCATAAGCTTAGAACAAGAGAACTGTAAGGCCAAAATGCATTTATGAGACCTCATTTGAAAAGTAACATTCGTGTTTCTGAAAATGTGCTTGTTTTGCATGTGACTACAACTCAACCTAAACTAAATCAGCTCATACATGGTATTTTTTTTTGTATTTTTCAGTCCTTGCCTGTAAAAAAAAAAAAAGTCATATTACATAACTACCAACAGGATGAACTTTATACAAGGCCTTGCCTCTGAAGCGCCCGCACCCCCAGTTTGCTCTGATTGGTCAGCTCGGTTCGGTCACCATCTTCCCCTGAGCCCCCAGAAGTGAAACCGGATTTGGAAAAACCTGTTTTTATTGGCAAACTAAGAACAAAAATAAGGCTGTTCGTCAACTTTTTCAAAAAATTATTATAAGTGCACCTTCTGCCGTATCTTACTGGTCCTCCTTTGTTGGAGATATGTGTTGGGAGAAAGCTGCATAAGTATTTTTTACCAACAAAATCAAAGAAATATCCTTCAAAATGCTTCACAGGTTTTATCCTACTAATCATATGCAGTAACTCTAGCTGTAACTAAGCTGTATATTTTGTGAGGTTTTGAGAGAAACGCTGATTCATTTATTTTGGCTTTGTCCGCGCACAAAACAACTATGGAGTAAAATGTCACGTTTTATCGCTGATCATATACTGTATATATCACCACTTTATATTGGAAAAATGTATTGCTGGGATTCATTGAATTTGACAGGAGTCTCTGCTCTCAATTTTATGTGATTTGCTTATTTCTTTAACCAAATTCTATATTCAGAAATCCAAATTCTTAAGCAAAAAGCCAAACAATACATTTTCTCAATATCTGAACATACAAACAAAAAAAGCTGTGAAAACATATAACCAATTTAAACTTTACAAGATATTTATTTAAATATTTATTTTCTTATTTTTCTTGTTATTAACATTTAGTCCCCCTGGCGTATTCTTATTGTATTTGTTACTGTATGATTGTGATTATGATGTATACACAATGTAGTTTAATTGTTATGTTATTGTTATGTATATTTGATTCAATAAAGTTAATTTATAATTGTAAAAAAAAGGAAAAAAGTCTGATTGGATCTTTACAGGGAGGCCTCCATTTTGTAGCCAGAAAGCTAACAAACAATAGCAGGCCCGCTAACACAGCAGCTGGAGCTGGATGGAGAGAGAGAGAGAGGAGAAGTGAGGGAAGCTCAGCTGGATACAAGTTGCTCCATCTTCTGCTTTGGACTTCTCATGTCGAAATTCATAACCTGGAATACTTTTATGAAGAAACTCTGTGGACCCTTACGGACTACAGGAATACACATAATGGAGGAATGGAGCGAGAATCAGAGTTCTACTTGTCTGAACGGTAGGCAGTCACCAGCTCTGCTGGTACACAATGCTACTAGATACTAGTAAATCATATTTCCGTGCTTAAGGTGCAAAATGAACTGAATATTTGAATTCTAGAGATTAACCGATCTAACGAGGTACAGCCTGTCTGCATTGACAAACCTTTAAGTTTATTCAGTCAGAACATGTACAGAACCTTCAAATGGCCCCTGGATGGGTCGGTGGGCTGTATGACGTTAAAAAAAAAAACTTTGCTGATTACAAAAGAGAGTCTGAACTTTTTATAATAACACTGGAGATGAGAGAATGGACCAAACAATGCAAAAATGTTGAGATGAAAGTAAGAGTCGAGTATTAACAGAATAAGAGATGTGTTTCCACACATACAGCAGTGAGATTTTCTACTGGTTTTAGTAATTAATTAATTTAGTCATAAAAGTGTAAAAGAGTCAGTATGTAAATTCTCTCAAAACAATAACAAAAGACAGCGTTGGGTGATGTCAAGAAATAGCATGGGATCATGTGAGTTTTTGTCTTCACTATTGTGCTCAGCTTCTCCTGTTTAAAGCAGTTTCACATTAGCAATCAGTGATTAACCCTGATGTTCAGCAGACACAGGGGCTGGGAGTTGCCCTGTCTAACATTTGTCTAGCTTTTCTTTCTCTGATCACTTAAGATCCAGATATCCAATGACTAAAATCCTTCATCTGGTTAAAAAATATATAAGGTGTAAAAGTCTATCTTAAAATGTCACTTAAAACTGGATAAAAGTCAAGTACAAAACTCAAAAAAGATATAACATAGGTCTAGTAATTTTTAGACATTTTAATGTGGAAAATTTACATGCAACTTTAATTCTACCAATCTAACATTTGTACAGAAACACTGTTATATTTACAAGATCCAGAGTCTGTTGAGTCTCAACGGAAGATGAACCAGTGGTTATCAGTTCAAACTGAGGTTTTTGGTTGTTAATCTTTGGTTGAGTTGAATTCAACAGCTGTGATCCTGAGTTGAAGATGTGGTTGATGGTCACTGAGGATGAGGATTTATTTGGTGATCCTTGGGCTATATCAGCCTCCGACTGGATCCACAGAAGCCTCTCACGTGCACTAATGTGATGATAGATTCATTAAATCCATTCAGGAATTAAAGGTTTGTTCCAGCTGGTGAACCTGTGCTGAAACAAGCCATAATTTGATGAAGGAAATCAAACAGAAGTTACAAGAAGGCAGCCGTCCCACCACAACCCTTAAGATTTCAAGGCTTTGAGATAATGTGAACAAGGAGATGTATTATTTTTGGTCTATATGACACCAGTCATGTTAACGTCCAGGGGCAGAGGTAGGATCTGAGGCTCTTGGATTGCCACCACCTTTGTTGCTGACCTGGGAATGAAAAGAAGAACAAAGTCACAGGAGTTTACAACAGTAAGAGAGCCTGCTGTGTGTAAGTGTGTGTCCTGTAATGACTTACCTGACAGCGTGGCCCTCAAAGCCAAGCGCTGTGATGAAGATGTTGATGAGCACTGTGAAGAAGACAAAGACAGTTGCTGCGTTGTTCATCGTGTTCAACTTGGCGTGTTTCCTTGTGTCGTTCAGATCGTACTTCACTGCTGGGAAAGAATCACATAACAGCGAAAGCAAAAGCAAAATTAGACACATAAAAAAATAATGAGCAAGAAAGATGAAAAAATAAAGAAAGGAAGGATAAACCTTTGAACTTTGTACTATTTGTATTACAAATAGACAGACTATGAACATAGAAGTGCCAAAAACAGTAGTTCATCAATTGATCACTTGAAGCTGGCTCCAAAAGCGTGTAAATCCCCGTAGACTCCCATGTTAATTTGTCCAACTTTACAGCAGAAATAAACATGTTTACAGCCTTGTCCAAAAAGCAGTTTTGGTCTCCATAGCTAATTTCCTCCTTCATGACAACTGTACGGGGGGTGAATTTTTATGTAACTCACCTGTATAAATTTTATTAAGAAAGTTATGCATAATTGAGGGCGTGGCAGCTTTGAGTGACAGGTGGGTGTTGTCAAAGTTGGCTAGTCGCTAGCTGTCTGCTCAGCATCACCTCAGCTAATTCGAGTCACTGAATGTGACTTCTTAGCTGTGTTGATGGTGTTGGTGTCTTTTAGAGGATTTTTCATACTTACTATAAAACGTGTGCTTTTTAAAGTGCAAGAAAGATGGAGTAGGAGGAATGATAACTGGAGATGCAAACTCTGAGTTACTTGCCAATAAAGACGAGCAGCAGCCCCACTATGACCTGTAACGTGATGGACAGAGACAGCAGGACCATGAGGGGGATGTAGAAACGGTACTGAGGCCCCACGTAGAGAACGGTCTTCATCTGGGACGAGTTGGCCATCAGCAAGGCAACGTCCAGCATGCTCTGGGCCGCACTCTTTTTAGTGGCATAGTGATTTATGTTGATGGGGCGATTCAATTTTCCAGAGGGGGTTTTGAGTGCCTGCGAATGTAGAGAGGATAGGATAGGAAGAAAGTCAAGATTCAGCTCCTGTTAAAAAACAAAGTCACAGGAGCTACATTACAGCCATTGTTGCATACATACACATCCACCTTTGACAGCAGAGGATGAAATGATTTGGCTTTCTCTGAAGGAACTAGGGGTGGGTATGATTAATCGATAATCGATAATTGATCGTTAAGAATTTTGTGAATCACGTGGAATCTGATCGATTTTAACATGTGTATCAACGAGGTTGTGTGTCTAGTAGTGTGTCTTGAAGGCAATGCAATGAATTTCCTACGTGGCAGCAACCAGCCAGGGCGCAATTTACATTTTCAACAGAGAAAAATGAAAAAATGAATACTCAGCTGCCGTAGGCATCGCAGGTAAACATGAAGAGAGCAAGGCGAAGTTTGGTGTGGGAACATTTCGAGCTAAAAAATAACAAAGCTCGTGTAAACATTGCAATGCCGTGTATAAGCACCGTAGCTTTGCTTGTTATTTGTGAAGAAGTTTGGCCTCGGGCTCTGCTGTCATTAGGAGCAACACATATCTTTTTTTGTTCTGTTTAATAGTTAAACAATTAAACTTTAACTGCCTTGTTTAGGAGGATTGTTGTTGGACTATAATTTCTTATTGGAATAAGGATTTCAATGAGGAAAAATATGCTTTCTTTAGTATTTTCTGCCATTGGCATTTTTTATTATAAAAAATGAATAATGAATCGATAATTGATCGTTAATTTCCCAGATGATTGAACAAAGACATTTCTTCAAGTGCCCATCCCTAGAAGGAACAATACAATTCTTTTGTTCTCTTTGTACATGTGGTTTATTCCAAGCACAGACAGGTGTGATGTACTTTGTTACTGTGTACCCAGGTGTGGCTTTAAGAGAAGGAGTGGGAGTGGCAGAGTAACAGGTGATGACTCACCTGGGGTGGAGAGAAAGGCAAGACAAGACACGACATGCATGTTCTCTTCCTACAAAGCTAGAAATGTGACAATTTGCCACATGAACTGATACTTGCATGTGCAGACAGAATGAACTGAAAATGACTGACTGAAATGAGCAGGAGGTATTTGAGGTGCTGAAACCTGAGGACAGGTAAACTGTTGTTCTGGGTAGAAAACTCCTCTTGGTCACAATGTACCTACCTTCACTGGTAAAGGTATTTTCTCAGGGCTTTGCCCATGAGACGTCACACCTGGGTGAAACTCTCTCTGAGTCACAAAGCTTTCATTCACCTCTATGCACAGCTGACAACTATGGAAAAAGCAATGATTTCACATGGAGTTCTGTCAACACTGACATTCCTGTAAATAGACGCTAGAGCAGTGGTCCCAAACCAGGGGTCAGGACCCTCACGAGAGGTCACGAGTCTAGTCTGAGGGGTCGACAGACTTTCTTCTTTGCATTTCTATTGTAATTATTCAAACAAAACAAAAAAAATCACTCTTCAGTTGAACTGGTCAACACTGGTAAACATATGCATCCCATTACAGGGGCTCAATAGAAGTCACCGCTTTGTTTTAAGGGGTTACAAGTCAAGAAGCACCAGTGGGACCCATTGTGGGTGCCATGGGCCAAAGCAGAGTTATTTGCCCCCCTCCTTTTGATAATAGGAAAAAATAAAACACATCTTCACTTACTGCGTTGTATAGCCATCTGTAAATGCTATTAAATTTTCAATTATTATTTTTTAATTAAGTAAGGTTTACTTTTTACTGTATGTCCAATAAGTGTGATAACTCCAAGCCAAATGAAAGGATGTACTGTAAATGACATCCATCTATTATGAATGGTTAGATAGATAGATAGATAGATAGATAGATAGATAGATAGATAGATAGATAGATAGATAGATAGATAGATAGGTAGATAGATAGGTAGATAGATAGATTTTACAATGTTTTATGATACATTCATGATGTGATATACATGTTTTAGTTGTAAACAAGTTAAACTATTCAGTGTTATGTACAGCAGGAACACACAACAGACACTTTATAGAAGTGAATAGAAGAGTAAAGGGAGAAAGCCTGTCAGTCTGTGTTGCTTACCTCTATATCACTCAGTTTATTCAGAGGTATGTCCTGTCCGTTCAGTCTGTCCATTCTCCTCTTTCTGATAACTCCACAGCAGCTCGCAGGAAACTGTCCTCTCTCAGACTCTCAGAGTTCACAGCTGCACGACGCACAGAAAGTGGAGGGTGTAGACAGGACGAACAAGTCAGGCAGCTCCTCCAGTTACAGGGACGCCGAAAAAAGCCCCTCCCTCTATGTGTCTCTTCAGTGCTGCAGATACAACGATGCAAATGTGGGTAACACGTAAATATATGCAGTATTGTCAACATGTGCTGTAATCACAACAGAGCTTACTTTACATGTCACTTCTAAACAATAATATGTTCATGTTTATGTTTTTAGAGTTTCACTTTATTTCCCATGAATAATATGAAGGTCTTATTCTGGTTCTCATAATAATCATAAGAAGTTGTTGCTTTGACATGATATCCCAATGATAAGAAAGTACACTCCTCAGCTTTGATTTATAGCCACTTACTTTTTTCATTACTTATGTCATTCAGGAGGCAGTAGGTGTGGGCCAATTCTTTCCTGAATTGTTTTGAACATGTTTGATTTCCATGAATAAGTCTAAACACTATTATTTCATTGAAATCATAATTATCTTGATAAAATTCCACATTCATAAGAATCTACTAGAATTAAATCAATGCAAAAGTGGTTAATTGTGTAAATATATGCAGCATATATGCATATTTATTCTATTAGAATTGACATTTTCCAATAGAGGCCACTGTACTGCTACACAAAGTTTTACATAATCTTTTTCGTTTTACCACTAATACTTGAAATGTTAAATACATTCTAGATAACTCCTGTAACACTTTGTAACACTAATGGGAGCAGGAAAACATAGAGAGAGACTCTAATGACTTTGTTATTACATCTTCTGTTAATGAACAGGCCCTTTAAACAGAAGACATTTGACTTGTCATAGGAGGAAAAAACACAGATTATTAAGTAACTGAAGATAATGGAAGAGGCAGCAAACTGGTTCAAGAAGTGTAGTCAAACGTTTAAACAGGAAATACAATATATAAATACAATATACATATACATATGCTGGATTACTAGCATGGCTTGTAACTGGGTTTGCAACTATGAGATGAATTGGATAAAATTAATTTTGATAAACAACTGTAACTTCATATATATTTTTTACCACTTTAGTGGCCTCACCTTACTTATAAAATAGACACAATTCCCAGTTAAATTATCAGTATTTCAAAAACAAGCTCTTTTGGTATAGAAAACTATCTACAAACACAACTTTTCTCCTAAGCTTTATTATATTTACCTGTAAATATAATAAGGCTTAGGAGAAAAGTATAAGTTGTAGTAATATAATTTACCTTTTTAAAGCTTTAATAATATTTGTGTATGTGTGTTCCTTTTACACTTTTTCACCCCTGAAACTGTACCACATGTATTCTGGTACTGCTACTACACAAAAAACTGTGGCAAGAGGTTTCTAAGTTTAGTATAATAATATTTATTGTTTTATTTACTTAATTCTTATTTCATTCTATTCTATTTCTATGCTGTGATATTTAAAAGAAAGGGGAGAGAAGAAAAACTGAACTGGTTTATGCTCTAAATATAATTAAATGAGCATACAAATATGTTTATCATTTAAATCATTATTTTAAAATTATTTAAATTGTTGCTTGATGCTACCGGAAGTTCGTGACTACTTCCGGGTCACTTGCTTCAACACTTCTACACAACATGGCGGCCTGCTTCACTGTTCACCGCTCCACCGTGCTCCGAAGGGCGCTGCGAGGAGCCCTCAGCCTACACGGCCGGACACCGGGACCTCCTGCCGGGCTCAGGTTCGTTTGTAGCGCTGCTGCAGAAGAAAAAAAGACGACGATTTTGGAGTCCACGGAGGAATACAAGTTCGTAGAGCGGCTCATCCCGTCGTCACGGGTCCCCACTCCGCCTAAACACGCTGGTCCTACCCCGTCTGGCTGGACCCCTCCGGCAGATTCACCGCCGCCTCTGCCGTACATGATCCGCCGCTCACGCATGCACAACATCCCAGTTTACACCGACCTGACCCACGGCAGCCGCAGGACAACGCTCGTACGGAAAGTGGAGGGGGACATTTGGGCTCTGGAGAAGGACGTGAAGCAGTATCTGATGGAGGTGACTGGGAAAGAGCTGCCCACACAGGTCAATGAGGTCACCATGACCCTGAAGATCAAAGGTCACTATGATAAGGAGCTGAAAGAATGGTTGACCAGCAAAGGTTTCTGACTCTGGTGTGGTGAGGTGGTGCGGGGCTTCGAGGACTGACACAGCATCATGCTCCGGGACCAGAGAGATGTCCATGAGGAGATGGAGAGGACAACTCAGGATTCAGCATCTATTGGCATGTCAGAGACTGAAACACAGTCCTACAGAACTTTAAACCCTGTTTCAGTCCAGATGATGATTATTACCACTGTAATGAACTCTTTTACACCAGAGAGATGTTGAAACTGTGGGATCATATAGAGTTAAACGGTGTACATACTTGTATGTAATAAATGTAACATTAAATATCAAAGCTGAGCTTGCTGCGTGTTGTTCTCCTGTGAACCTGTCAGAGCAGATTTGCATGACACAGGCTGTTTGACCTTTATATCCAAAGTTTTATAGATCGTGTCAAACTTTTCACCAGCACAGTCCTTGAGATTTTCCTCTGAGATGGTTTAGTTTTTCAGTGAATCAAGTGTGTGATGCAATTAACTTGCATGTTTTATCCACCCATAAGATACTGCATTTCAAAATGATATAAAACAGCAGAGGGTGAAGCCTGAAGTGCTGTATGATTAGCTTTTTTTTTGCTGACTAAATTAAAACAATTCATCACTTATCAAAAATGTTGACATTTTGTGTCGATCAACTAATCTCTGCAGCCTTAAAGAATAACCACAAAATGAAAGTAAAGGAACTATAAATGACACCAAATAATATCAAACCTGAATTACAAATGAAGTTTAAAATATTTTATTTATTCAGAAATACAATATGCACATTCATATTGAGCTCTGCAAAGGACAATACAAGTTAGGGTGAAAAAGGAGGAATATTACATTCTGATTTTATCATCCCAACACATCAGACACCCACCCACTGAAACCATCGCTCATCACTGTAGATCACTGCAATCCTTATTACATGGAATATATTTTCGCCAGTATTATGTGAGTGTTTCCAACAAACTTTATTTTAAATAAACAGGAACCACATCAAACTGTATTAGCTTTCACTTACAAAAAGATGAGTGCAGTTCTGCTGAAATGCGTCTGAGCAACAGCAGCTTGCGCTGGTTAACATTTTATGCAGAATCATACAGAATTCTGTTTAAAGTCTTAACACAAGTACAGATCAGACTCTCCGTCCATAATTACTGCATTACTCTGAGTGCTTTTCTCACTCCAGCAGGCAATCAACATTTACCCTGATGGTTTGAAGTTGTTGCCATCAGGAATGTAGCAGCGAGAGAAACTCCCTACTTCGCCGGGAGAGTTCTTCCAGTTGGTCAGCTGAAAAAACAAAAATATATTAACGTTGTGCAACAAACTCTGTGAGCATGTATGTGAAAGAATATTCACTTACGTAATGTGTGCTTCTCTCCTCTTCTCCAGTAGCGTGGCTGCGTTTGAAGCCGGTTCACTTCCTCATTCGTGGATGCAGAAGCTTCTGATACTTCATTTAGCATTTCCAGCTCCTAAGAACCCACGCAAGAGGAAGAAGTGTCAGTATGACTTGTTCCCACAGGTCAGGCTCATGTTGACACAGATTTCAGGCATATGAGAATACCGTGTTGCAGGTCAGCAGTAGTTGGTGTACTCTCTGGAAGATATCGGTCTCTGTGCTGAAGCTGGGGGGGTCTCTACTGCAGTAAGCACTCAAGTCTGTTTCGTAAACATGGCTGAAAGTAGCCATCAGCTGCTGAAGGTCACACGCCGCCACGCGCAATGAGCTTGGAGAAAAGACACCAGGACTCTGCGCCTCATTGTTCAGGAATTCACACTGAGGAGAACAGAGCACTCGTTGCTACCAGACATTCAGGTAGTAATGATGACCACGGTGTATGTTAACAAAGACATTCTGTTTCAACTGAAGGCTCTGTAATACTGCAGGCGTCACCGGCCACATCGACACATACCTCTGACTGTAGCTGCTCCAGTACTGACTGAGTTGACTGTAGAAGGGCAGTAACATCAGCATCCTCTTTACTTGGTTTAGAAGATGACTTAGTGCCTTTGCGTGAAGCCCTGTGAGGTAAGGAAAAGCAGTAAGAGGAGTTGGAGGAGACAAGTATAAAGACAACAGGAAGAAATAATGCAGTACATGAAGATCCATGAAACAAGTCTCTTATTGGCAGTAGATTTAGAAGAGAATGACAACATGCAGCAGATAAAAACAGTAGGGGCTATGATGATATGTGTTTAAGAGGATAATCAAATACAGTACATATACTTGATGTGTCCAGGCCAGGGGTCGAACGTGGGTTCAAGCATTTGTGTGAGGTGAGGCAGATTCTCATCAGCGCAGAGTTCATTCAGTAGCATCTCCTCATTTGCTCTGTGCCCCGCAGACTTACTGCAGCCTGGGACTAGAGTTAAAAGCTGCTCCAGGAACTGAAGTTGCCTGTGAGGACTCACGTCACCCTGGATAAAAGTTTTAATAAATGACACAGACAAAAAACAGGACATTTGTGTTCATTATAGCAATGAATATCTCTATCTGCAAACTGATTACATCCACAGTAGTTTTATGCTTCCTCTCACCCTGATCAGGTCGAGGTCACCTGCTCTACACAGCATCAGCTCCTGCCCAAGCACAGCCATTTCTTTTTGTACAAAAACAGACCACAGCAGTACAAGAGGTTATTTTAATGTGAAGAAAAAAAATAGAATAGAATACAGAATATATCAATATAAACTTCACTTCACTGCACTTTCACTGAGATTATTTTCCTCTCTTCAACAAGGTTTCTATCAAAACACATCAAACACAAGACTGTATAAGAAAGTTGGCCTTTTGTTACCTTTAGTGAAAGCATCTGGGTCTTTGGATCTCATTGACATCACCTTGGAAGTGGCAAAATTTGGGTTGATACTGTAAAGTGACAGGTCAGACAGAGCAGAGGAGTGTGTTTATATTTATAAAAAAATGTTATTTTGATAGATGAGAACAGTTGTGATGTTCCCTGTCAATTATTGTACCTGCCACAGATCCATGCCAGTATGTCTGTGCGGTGCTGTGAGGGAGTACAGAGCAGCTGCAGCATGCTGTCTGCTTCCTGCAGGTACAAACCCTCCACCAAGGGACAAGACGCAGCCTGAACAAAGACAAAACAAACGCAGAGTAATCAGTTTTATACAATACCTTACTCTCTCTTATTGCAAAAATAAAACCAGCAACAACAGTAATATATCAGGGGTTCATGTGAGTTCATGCAGCAGTTCAGACTTTATTCAGTTTCAGTGTTCAAAGTCAATAAGATTTTGGTTCAGGTAGGCTAATAAATGATTTGGATGTACTGATGCATTATATTTTTGAAAACTTTAAATAAGTGTTATGTTCTGAATATGATAAAATGATACAGAAATATTTACATGACATTACTGTGTTTGGTATTAATTGGAGACAGCAAACAGCATGTCTCTATATATTAATGGAAAAATCACCAAAAATACTCCAATAAATATATCTGGAAAATCTCCATCCCCCAAAACAAGTGTAGGCAGACTTTGACACAAGACCGAAAAAGTCTTTGGAAATGTTGGATTAAATGCCGGTTTAGCATTTGATCATGGCAGACAGACAGTGGGCACTTCGTGTATATAACCCGCTGCTGGATAACAGGTTTAAACTGTCTTTGTAGGGATGTTTTGTGAAAGAATCACGGACACACGTAGACTATGGGGCGCTACATGAACCGAGCACAAAAAATAAATGAACTATCGGTACTTATGAGAATAAGTAACAACATAACCAAACGTAAGAAAAGCGCGCGTTGTTTTAAGTTATTTGAAACTATTTTTATGTTACTTTAACTTCTCTTACCTGCAAGGCATCATAAACAACTCGTACAAGTTGTCTGTCTGTCAAAGCGCCCGCCATTTTCCAAACAAATCGCTACTTCTTCTTCGTCTCCTTCTTCGTTTCTTGGCGTACTGCAGCCGGGCGGAGCACTAGCGTCACCTGCTGTAGTAATTCTATAGTCTTGAAAAACATCCACGAGTAATTCCTGAAGTGAAAACATGGTTAAAAATGAATTTCCAGAGCTGTCTGTGACAGGAAGATGGAGGTACAAAATGACGAGGAGCACAGGGAGAAGCAGGAATGCAGACAGTGAAGCCTACAGATTTTTCATACAGTGCATTATTTAAAATGGGAGAACATAATTCAGGAATGTGTGAATTTTATGAAGGAGAAACGTTAGAACATGATCTGCTTCAACTGAACCTTTAATTTAGATGAGCTGTTGCAAAAAAAGTGTTGACGAGTACTATAGTTCAGTGTTCTTAATATTTTTTATTTATTTTATTTGTATATATAATAAGAGTCAACCACGTCTAGTTAAATTCCTGGTCCACTCCAGTTGGTGGCGGTAATGCACCATTTCGCTGTTTGCCAACCGCCATAGAACGTGAGGAAGAAGAAACGTCATTTCCGGGATGCGGTGCTATCGGTAACTGAATAAACCGTTGCTTTCGCAATTGATCACGCTGCCATATACAGCTATTTTTCGAGGGATTTAATAGAGTGTCTGATAGGGGACAATCATTTCCATATGTATAAAGTGTTAACCTGAGTCTATCGTTCGCCGCTTCCGCCACTAACATGAAGAAAAGGAGCTCAGAGAAAAAACGCCATGTGGTTGCCTGGGTCAACAAAGCTGAGTGGGATCAGGTTCTAGAGTATCTTTACTCCAAGGATTCCGCCTTACAGAGGTTCGCACTGCAGAGGATATCAGCCTGGAAATGCAGGTATGCCAGCAGCTGTCCCGTGGCAGTGGACTGCACAGCGGACCTGGTGAGGTGCCAGGTGCTCGACCGGTCAGGACAGCTGGACGGAGGTGATCTGGTCCTGCTCTATGGAGCGGCTCTGGTGAGGTTTGTGAACCTGATCACTGAGCGACAGCAGGGGAGAGTAGCCCGACCACTGAGGCGGCTGGCTGGGAACCTTAACATCCCAGAGTGGATTGTAGACCTGAGGCATGATTTCACTCACAGGAAGCTCCCTACCTTGAAATGGTGTAGAAAGGGATGTAAGGTGGTTCTGGAGTGGCTCCAGCATGAGTACTGGTCCAGGCAGTTGGGAGGAGGGCCTAATGAGGACTGGGAATCACAGTCAGATGGAGAAGATGAGGAGACTGACCTAAAACACCAAGAGGATGAGCTCATTGCAAGGCAAAAAGAAATGGAAGCCTACAAAAATGCTCGGGGACTTCTGATTTCTTTTGAAAAAGAGCAGTTCCAGGCTTTCGGCGGACTTCCTGAAGACAGAGAGAAGAGCTTGTGGCCAGCCCCCTTTGCAGAAATGAGCTGGTTACTTGGGGAGATCAAGCAATTTGCTTTGGAGTCAAGTGATTTGCTGATGGATGTGTTGTTGGAGGATGGATTTCTGGTTCCTACTGTTGAGCAACTAGAAATATTAGGCTGTGAAACCTATGCTAGTGCCAGTCCCAGTCCCACTGAACCCAGACTCCCTCAAACCTTCCTGCGTTTTTGGTTGCCCCTCCTGAAGATGCTCAACTCACCAGCCTTTGTTCACCTGCTCCTGGAGAAGCTCTTTGTTGAACTCAAGCTGCTCACCAAAGACCAGAATAGTCACAGGGCTTTCTACCTTTCTGCTTGGATTTCAGAAGTCATGCTCTGTAACAGCAACAAATTTGAATACCATTTTGAAACAAAGGGACAGAGGAAGGCCAGAATGAAGGACAGGATTTTTGTAAACCGCATCCAGCTGCGGTGGCAGCAGCTGCTCTCGGCATGCCTGGATGCTCCTTGTATCAGCACGCCTCACTTGCTCCAGTTAATCCTGGATGATATGGAGCATCCTCTCCCTCTGGAAACCAGACAGAGGCTGCTTCAGCTCTGCTCCATCTACACACAGACCACACACTCAGAATTTGATCCCTCTCCAGAGCAGAAACAACAGCCCATATACACACTGGAGAGTCTGCATGAGAAGCTGCAGCATTCACGGCACCACAGCCATCCTTGGCATTCCAGGGCTGAGTCAGAGAGGAGTGAGTCTTCCCAGGAGTACAAGCGGGCAGATGTTCAGGCAGAAAAGGCAAAGTTGCTCAGAGGGTCTCCATGGCAGCTGTGTGCTGATAAAGTTTTGTGGAAGAACTATCCTCTTGGTAAAGTCCCTGGACAGTCAGATGACCCATCATCCCTCATGGTAGAAAACTACTCAACAATGACTGTCTTTGACCAGCCAGTGGAGATGGAGAGCAACACAACATACAGCGTCCCAGGAGTCTCTGCTCCAGTGAGAACAGCTGATGGCCTTCTTTGGAACCACAGCGATGTTAACAAGCTGAAATCTGGACTACAACTTTTTTGAGTCATGTTGTAATACTGGAAATAAAGGCCTTTAGGTACTGGCACATTGTTTAGTTTGTGCTCTCTTAACATATGGATAAAAGAAACAAATTGTTTGATACTGAATATGATACTCAACAATTTGTTGTGGGATGATAAATATGTAAAGCAGTTCATTAACTGATCAGTCAGTCAGCTCAAAATCACTTTTCTGAGTCATTTATAAGGCAAGAATGCCAAACGTTCACTGGTTCCAGCTCCTCCAATGTGAGGATTTATTCCTTTTCTCTGTTATATAATTTATAATTGCATCCAATTACTCTTTTTTATTGAAATTTAATGATAATTTTCTCAATTAATAGTAAAAAATTGCCATTATAATTTCCCAGAACCCAAGGTGACATCTTCAGTTAAAGTTTCAAACATTTTATAGACAAAAACATTAATCAGTTAATAAAAAATTCAACAGATTGTTATTGAAAATAACTGTTATTTGCAGCCCTGATGTAAAGCATTTATAAAAGCATTCATGTTGTATGCAGTGTCTACAATATTTTCAATACGTGGCTAAGACAAAAGTGGAACTAGTGCAGACATTTAACATCATATGAAACATATACTTCACATAGTAAAGCAAGAATGTGAGATAGAATTGGGATATGGTTAATTCGCTGTTATTGTGTACAGTGAGATTTTTTTTCTCTTACACCTGCCATGCCAAGGTAACTTTCTCTGTTTTTGGTCCCTACAAAGGGTTTTTGTGTAGATACATTTAATTTGAAAGCCCTTGAAACGGGATATTGTTGTAAGCACGAGGTGATTTACAAAATACATCTTCTTTTGCGCACTTGTGTTCAATAAAAACTTTTCTCTACTGAAGTAATATGATTGTGTTCTTTTTACAGTGTAGGATTGATGGAGCTGAGTTGCAGCATACCGGTTTGGAAAGGGTGCCTCAGAATGGCTAATTGCAGCATGAGCAGGCATACTGTTAGTACCTCCGTTCAGACTGAGAGCAGCACTGCTTTCAAAAACAAGTGTCTGCTTATGTACCCTTTGGTATAATAGTTCTTTTAAATAGTAAAAAAGAACACACTAAAAATGTTACCTGTCCATTAATACCTCTGTATCACTTTAATGGGTGACATAGCAGCATTAGGACAAAGTGGTAAAGCACAAGTATAAATGATGAAATACAGACATAAAGCACAATTTAAGAGACTTCTTATATTTACATGGTGACCTAAAAATGTAAACACCCTTATAAAATGTAATACAATACAACACAATAATGATATAAGAACTGCTGCTTTTATTAATCTTTTAATTTGTAATTTCTTTTCAGTCTGTCACAGAGGTGTTTATTTACCTCTGGTCATTTCTTAGGTATGAGGTTGTATGACTGCTCAACATTAAAATTGAGTTCTTGTCCACAGAACAAAGCTCAGTAGGACTTTTATTTTGAAGAACTTCTCCGGAAGTGACAACAGGTCGACGTCAGTCTCGGTTTTATAACCGCGTTACTGTCATTTTATATTCAAGCTTTGAGCGGTTGAGAACGTGCCAGCAACTGTTTCATCGAGGGATTCAAATCGCGAAGCTTATTGTTATATTCATTTCCATATATCAAGGTAAGTTGTTCGTCGAGGAAGTGCCGTTAAAACCTCCTGCGTCATACACGAGCTCTGCGAACGTTGACGCTTCATGGCTTAAGTGAACTTCAGCTGGTGTAGCTAATCAAAATTGAGCGGGGACTTGTCGGTTACGTTATTGCACATGTTGACTTTTTGTTTTAATGCAGCAGAAAATCCTGTGGAACGACTTAATATACGCTCATATTATCCACATTCAACTAACGTTGGCTGGGCGCGAGAGATATGTGCTGCTAGCACAATCAAGGCCTTGTCAGCAAGCTAACGCTAATGTTTAACGTTACAAATAACGGCTGTCATTCTTTGCCGATTGGTCCAATAAACTGCAAAGTATAATAACAGATAACATGAATAATGAGAAGTATTTGTTGTTTGGGTAATTATAGCGCATCTGTTGCTAATTGTCGTATAGTATCAGTGCGAATGCTATTAGGCCTAGCTTAAGCAGCAAGGCAGTTACGTTGGTAATACGTTTGGCCAACACACACCTTAGATACTCTTGTGCCTGTTAGAAAATGGAGGATGTCTACAGCAAACTATGTTAAGTAGATGACTTAGTCTGAGTGTCATTTCGTTTTATTTAGTTACTTTGAGCAATTGGATAAAATCAGTCTTGAATAATTAAATGGGTTACATAAGCTATAATTTAACAGAGCTTGATTGTGAAAATGTTAGTGCTGATAACATCACAAGCATTTAGTCCATTAAATGTCAATAATGACTAATTGATCACAATTAACCAGAGTCACAGATTTGTTTAAAGTCTAAAGTGAAATGTGTAGCTTCTTGCTGAGTTTGTTTATTAACAACATGGTGAGAAGCACTAAAGGGTTTTTAGTTAACAGCCTGTATTGTCCTACACTGACTAGCAAAATTGTTCATTTTCATGATAAATGTATTAGTTCATATCTACAGGGTTACACACTAACAGTATATGTTGCCTGTCTCTGCAGGTGAGAAATTATAGGATATCTTCTGGACAGCGTGCTTGCGGCCCCACTGTCAAGCCAGAATGATAACCAGAAGAAGAGGCCGTACTATCAACAACACAATGTCCCTAGAAGTTGAAGTGGTGGATGCGGTGGAAACTGTAGAGGATCTGCCAGGTTCTTCTGTGGGTTTCCCAGCTGACAGCATTGACACTGGTGGAATAGAGCTAGATGATCTGTTTGGAAATGAAGACTTAAAATGGACACTTGAGAGAGACTCACCACTCTTCGATATGGAGTTGGATGAGCTTGGTGTATACTGTGCCAAGGATCAAGATTCTGGGATTGAAGCTTCAACAGGCTCATCTCCAGAGAGAATGTCATCTGATTTGAAGATCAAGAACAGACAAAACCAGTCGAGCCATGTGATCAACAAAAATGCAATTGCTGCCAGATTGAACCGTCTCAAGAAGAAGGAATATGTCAACAGCTTGGAGAAGAAAGTCGGCATCCTGTCAACAGAAAACAACATGCTTAAACAGGAAAATTCTCAGCTGACCAAGAGAGTGGAAGAACTGGAAGATGAAACCAGGTACCTAAGAGCTGTGCTGGCCAATGAGAGCATGTTAGGCCAGCTCTTGTCCAGGCTGAGCGGTGTGAATGGGATGAAATTATCTTCCTCGCTTTTCCAGGGGCCCGACTCAAACGACCACGACTATGCCTTACCCAGGAAGCGTGTGAAAGTGGAGGAGAAAGAGACATCTGGTGGCGTGTGTCTGCATGTGGACAAGAACCATGTCTCAGTGGAGTTCTGCACTAAGTGTGCAGAGAGCGCAAGCACATCGCTCACAATGTAGGGTCAAGTACTTATCTCTGTTTTCAGATATTGAGACTGACTCAGTGTACTGAACTTCTTGAAGGTGGATGAACACTGTTGAGTTTAAGATTACCTAAGAACTGCTGAATGTGCATGTGTTTTTGTGTGATGATGGATTGAGTACACGTTACTGCTAAACCTTGTTGACAGTTTCTTCTAGGTAATGGTTGATCCACCATGCGGGATGAGTGGCTTTCTGAACACCTTTACCTGCTTGACTCCATGGTAAGGATCAGACAAGAAAAGACCTTTTTTTTTGTTGATTTTCCAAAGCGATCAGCAGCAACCTTAGTACTTCTGTTGTTAGACAGTTCTTGCTCCCAGCTAGTGGATGTTGAGTCTCTCTATTATTTCTTTTGTTAATGGTTTGTTGTTATAGGAATTGATTTTATTTTAGTTAACATGTAACTAAGAGTTAAATCAAAGTATCCTGAATGCTAAGATGTTAAGATGAAGGTGAAGGTCCACAAAGAGAGATTTTGAATCAGCTGTATAATTGGAACAAAATAATCCATGGAAAAAGATAAGTATGTTTATACTTTATTTTGGTCAGAACTGATCTCTTTGTGAACCTGCACCACTGTACAAAAGAATATTTTCATTTAGCGCCACCTATTTTTCTTTATGCTAAAGTGGAATCTGCTGGTGGAAGGCGAAGAGGCTGGACAAGCTGCTGGCAACGTGGCCTGGTATTTTTTTAAAGGTAGTATTGGTAACAAATGGTATATGTGACATTTTACCAAAACTCTACAACATCTGTAGCTGTAGGTATAGTCAGTATAGCTCTTGCAGCATTTTTTGGGGGGTTAACTACAGCTACTCCATTACTTGGAGCAATGCTACCAGAAGCTTAAGTCTCAGAATTATGTCTAGTATATATTTACATGTACTCAGTGAATACATCCTCAATGATCTGCTTTAAGTGATGGAATTTTCCATTTTGATCAAGTGGAACAAACTGTAAATGTATATATAACTTGGAATACTATACTTTGTTTGAAGTAAATGACCTTGAGAAATGTTGGACAAAATAAATCATATTTTCATTAAGTTTTGAGTTATAAATATCTACTGTGTCATGTTCTGTACTGTTGATATTAATGCATCTCTTTTTCTCTTTCTAAACAGCAAAGCTCTCTGCCGATAAACGTCTTACTTTTCCTGATCATTTGGGTCAAGTCTGGTAAAGGTTGTCAAAACAAATGACCAAGACCTCATTTGATGGAAGTAAAAAAATCCACAGTATGAGGGGGCCTACAGAGATTAATCATACTGCCTATGTTTTAGCCCATTAACTTCAAATCAATTACATTATACACAACACGTTCCCACTATCCTACAGCAAGGGATAACTACTCCCCACTGCTGTGGTCCTGCCTGGGCTTCCCACAGCTAGCCTGTGATGGTCTCACCCCCACCCCTATTTTTTTGGTGTGCAACTGTGTTGCTGTGTCAGTAAAGAGAGAAAGCTCAGGCTGCATCCACACTACTACATTTTAGTTTTAAAATGCATTTATTTTGCTGTTATGCCTGGCATCCATATTACTCCAATTTTCAAGCGCCTGAATCAGAGACTTTTCGAAACACTGTTTTAATTGGAAAACTCCAGGGTTGCATTGTAGTCTGGACAAGCACCTGCAGAGAACTTTTGGAAACAATGATGGTCCCTCCCTGTTTCGGTCTTATCAGTCATGACTAACAGTGGTGAATCCAGCAATGATAACAAATTACTAGCGTTACTGACCTTGTTGTCTTTGCTAGCTGCTGTTGTGCAGTTCTCATTTTATCACTACAAGTGTCGTTGCTGTTCCTCGTTTGTAATATTTTCTGCAACTGGCCAACTGCAGAGTATACAATCAACTTCCTGTTTACACCAGCTTGCACTTGCCTGGTGTATGTGAATAGTCATTTTCAGGTGTGTTAGTATGGAGGGAGATTATTTTTTGATGTAGAGCTAAAACGGCTGTCTGTGTGGAGATCATTGTCATTGTAACACACCATTTTAAATAAGGTAAAAGTAGTTTAAAAAGTAAAACATAGTTGTGTGGATGTAGTGTAGATTTCTAAAGGTTCAGCATCACTTCTGTCTTCTGTTCAGACTTCACAGGTATCAGCCTTACAGGAACAGCCACAGTAAGCTGTCAGATGAGCTTCAGGCAACAGGCTCAAATAGTAAATTACTTCACTCTGCTTTGCGGTGCAGCAGAAACATGCAGTCAGCATAGCTCAGCTGCTTGTGGCCATTCACATAAAGGCATGATGGGGTGTCTTAGTGTGACTGACCACCCCACCATGGAAAGACCCTGAAACTGCACAGACCTACATCTTGTTTTAAATAGGCAGCCAGTGTAGTGAATATCGGCTCTTTTTTGTTGTCAAATTTAAAAGCGTAATTTGGGGAAAAGTACTCATTTGCTTTCTTGTTAAAAGTTAGATGGTAAAATGAATAACCTGTCTCATGTTAGTATTTAGAACATGAAGCCACAGACAGCAGCCTGTCAGCTGAGCTTAGTATGAACACTTGGCCTGATCCTCCAAAGGAAAAAAAGACCACCACCTCCTTTTTAAAATGCACGCACACACCTTGTGACAGACAACCAGTGGAGTAGTTACTGCAACCACCTGAAAAATATTGCTGCACATAAACCCTGTAACGCTGTAAGCTGTCCTTTTACACTTGTGGTCTTGTACAGATTAAATAAGTGATATAAGTGAGTCAGTGTTTAGAGGTGATGGTAGGCTGATTTTATTTGACAAGGATGAAGTTAGACTGTCAAACTTTCCCTGTTTTCAGTCTTTATGCTAAGCTAAGGGCTGCTGACTACTCATACAGGTATGAGTGGTGTCAGTGTTCTGTCGGCAAGAAGCAAATGAGTATTTCACAAAACCATTGAAGAGCAACCTCACATGGGCTCATATATTAAGTAGTGCAAGATGGAGATTATCATTTCACTGAATGTTGGTATTCATTTCATTTTGATGGAGACATAAAAGGCAGCTTTTCAGAGATCTATATAAACATGTCAAAAAGTGGAATATTTAGTGATAAATCATATTTGTTTAAAAAGAAATAGCATGATTTTAATCTTGGAAAAACAATGGTCATATCCTTCTCTGCACTTGCAGCTTCACAAACCCAGTGTTTATTTTTTCTGTTTTTCTGGGTTTCATTTTTTCTTCCCCTGACAAAGATGAAGGCAGTGCTATTCACTGGCTGACTCATGTCTCTGAGATTACCTGGAACATAACAACCCCCTTGACTTTTCAAAGCAGTCTGATTTCATCTAAACACCATGATGAAGCAGCTGTGTTTATAAGCTGAGCATGCTGTTCGTTGTTGCTGCGTATTTAAATTAAAAAGGTTTCATCTTTGCGAGTTGAGTTTTTATACAGCAAGAGCTTACTTGTTGCTAGAAAAAACTTGTGGTCAATTGACAGTCACACTGTAATAGGTGTTTGACTTGAAGTACATGGGCTAAGACCTCTTAATAACAGTATGATTGGAAAATGGAGTCTCATTTGTATGTTATTCCATAACTGAATAAATAGTAAACTGCTGAGTAGCTATTGAGCTTACATTACTGACAACAATTAACATTGAAACCTGCTTTCCATCTCAGATGCTGGGTCAGTATTCATCCTGTTCTGGATGTTTATTTTCATGGATGGTTTACTAGTTTTGTTGTGTGCAGCAGATTAGCCTTTAGTGTAAATTTAGCCTCATCTGGGATGAGAACTGGCAGCAACAATTTGGAAATAAATACTGGATTTCAGCATTAAAGTGCAGGAGTCAACTGATCTTCACAATAAGCCCAGGTAGAGCTCTGTCTCATTTCCAAGTGTTAAAGGCTTTGGGACAACCTTAAAAAAAAAACTTAAATAACTAACAGTGTACAGGTCTAATTACAAAATACATCTTGGACATAAAAGATGTTCCTGTTCACAGTTACTGAGCTGCTGTTATATGTGATAATATGAACAACAATGAGCCAAAATGAGCAATCAAAGATGAACGAATTACGTGAGCTGCTCCCCACCCAGGTCAGCAGTGGTGAATACCTTCTGACAGTGATCTGGGGAACCATGAACCAGCACATTATCAGTGCATGAATGATGAAGGTCCTCCCTTCTGGTGAAAATGATAGAACACCCCCTTTGCCACAAGTTGTTGAAAATTTAAATGAAGATTGTGAGAGGAACATGTCACAACACAGAACATCGCACCCCACTGGGCTCTGGACTGCTCAGTGTCCACTCTGGTCATAGCGGTCTGGATCGGCAGTGACTGGAATCTGATTAAATAATTTGAAAGATTTTGGGTTGGATTAATAAATAGACACACACCACCAGACATTTTGACATGTCACAGTGGGAAAAGTACAGGTTTAAATAAGAAAATGAATGATGGCTGAATTCCATTTAGCTGCTTCAGTTTCAGGGTACTGGTAAGGTTCATGCTGCCTCACTCACATTTTTATGGCTCACTAGGATGCAGATATAATGGAGCCATTGTTTTTGTCCTACTATGACAAGTTCGAGTCAGATTGTAGACTGGGAAACCGTGCATACCTGGACTTCAGTAACATTGGTAATGACTGTAGGGTTTAGATAACTGATTGAAGTCTCCACAGTTCCAGCAGAGACGCCACCTCCTGGAAGATATCTGAGTGAAAGTGCCAAAGGTCATCTCATCAAAGATCCAATTAGACAGGAAAATAACGGACATGTCAGGTTTATCCAGCCACCAACTCTGATTTATTGACCAGAACGAATGTACAGCTCTTAATTGTGGTGCTGTTCACCTACCTGATCAACATAGTCTGTTTAAGGATGTTTGGAGACAGGAAAATGTGAACATGTCTTCCTATTTGTCACGTGTGTTTGGAAATTAGCTCATACATGTTTTCATATAACCTGGTTGTCACAGTGTAAGATGTTTTAACAGCAAATGTCTCGACTTGTCCTGTGAGGGAAAGCTGCACCAGTGGAACTAATTACATTGATGACACATCTAGTTCAAATAAACTTTGTGCGAATGACAGGTTTTTCTTTTAGATCTAAAGAAAAACTGATTTCTGTCACTATTTCTATGTTCTAACAAAAAATATCCAATTCTTTTTACATTTATTTTATCCCATAGTTTCTTATTGAATTTCACATCCACACAAAATAGATTATATAGAAAATGTATAGGTGGGTGGAACAATCACCCTGAGGCATTATACCCCAAACTACTAAAGGTGTCTCACTCCAGATAGTTTTATGCATTTTTATAAATACTGGAAAAACCTATTCAATTTTTTTTTTTCAAAACATCCAATTAGAGACCATCCTGTCAACATGTCCACGCAGTACTTGTGGGTCAGACCACACCATTTTGATCTCAGGTGCACAGCTGTAGAGTTTTGTGACTAATGCACTAACAAAAATCTGTTCACAAAAGGACAGACATATAAACACCTGCCAAAGTCCTCAAAACCCACAACTGTACTTCCTGCTACAGTGTGTCCAGAACCACATTTTTCAACGATGACACACACACACACACACACACACACACAAGATCAAAACAATACTAGCAACACTGTCGTGGCTGGTAAATGTTTTGTTGAGATATTTTACTTGTTCCAAAGTGGTGGACCGGCTGACTGACATTGACATCAATAGAACCATACTACTGTCCAAAATCACGTCAGTGACAGCACTGTCTCACTGGGTGGCATGATCCTTCATTAACATGAACACACATAATGACGGGTACGGGCAACATGCACAGCCGTCTTGTCGAGGGGAGGCAGGGCGCTCACAAAAAAAGAAAGAAAAAAAAAGAAAAGAAAATGTTGCGCGATCGGTTTTCTAAGGCTCATTTGCACATCACATGAATTTCCCCTAGGGGATAAATAAAGGATCTATCTATCTATCTATCTATCTATCTATCTATCTATCCGTCCATCCATCCATCCATCCATCCATCATGTCGTCTGGGATTTTTAACTACATGTATTACTCCGCTTTACAGGTGTTCTATCAACCGTTAATTAGAGTTACATTAACGGTCGTTAGCTGT